GGGGCCAGCCGGACCAAACACGCATCAATGGGAACCAAACGGCCGCGGCAAACGCTGGCGCCAACCAGCAGGGCGCGCCTGTCCAAGGCAATGCGGGCGCACCAGCCGCCGCCAAGAAGACGAAATCTAGACGTCGCGCGGAAAGGGACCTCAAGATGGCCGCTGCTCATCGTCGCCGTGAGGCCAGAGAAAAAGCCTACCACAACCCGCCCCGTCCTGAGGACATGTGGATTTGCGAGTTCTGCGAATACGAGCAGATTTTTGGCGAACCTCCCTACGCCCTCATCCGACAGTACGAGATTAAGGATCAAAAAGCCCGCCGCCAGGAACAAGAAAGAAAGCGGCTGCTCGAGAAGGCCAAGGCCAAGAGGCGCAAGGGCAAGAAGGCCAACAGTGGCAAGCCTGGTGCCAAGAACACTGACTCGTCTCAGCCGGAGCCTCAACAGCAGCCTCACAGAGTTGACGGAGGGCATACGGACGGAACGCGCTCGCAGACCAATAGCACGGACGAGGATGAAGAAGGGTACCATAATGGCGAATCCGACTACGACGGCCGCTCCTTCACCCACGATGACCCGCCCATGACACTTTCGGACGATCCAGACCCCGAATACCCCGACGACGAACGCCTGGCATGTCCCTGCGCGTCCTGCGTGGCCGGCGCAGGGCATGCAGGGGTGCCTGCCTAGAGAGGAGGAACAGGAAGCCTCCTGCGTGTCGTCGAATGTGATACCCAGGAAGCCTGCATCTGGACCACTTGGCTACTTTTGTTTTTATTTTGGCATTTCTGCGCGCACAGCGTTCTGTTTGAGTTTTGGATTTGACAATGGACCCAAGATGCGCCCCAAAGCACGCATCAAGTCGGTGGTCTTGTCCCATGATGAAGCCTGATTTAGTTTGACGGCTGGTTTGCAGTCCCGCAGTTTCCGGAAAACGGGGCGGTTCGCTATACCCCATGGGATCATCGTCGCTGACTGATGGCAACTGAAGATTGCAAGAGAGGAGGCAGTATTGTGCGAAACGTTGCGACGCATGTCGAGGCTTCGCGCACGGTGTTGAAGGCTGTCGAGTCTGGGGTGGAACGGGGAGGGGGCAGAGAGGGAGCAGAGAGAAGAGTGCTGGCGATGAACGTTAGGCCGCAGCCTGCCAGGCGTTGCACGACCTGACGCAGACAGTGGCCAGTATCGGTGGGAGGTTGTCGTCAGGGTCCTGTGTCATACCAGCGACAAGGCTAAGATGGATGGGTGGTGGACAGGGACTTCGGGCTTGAGGAAGCCCTCGATCTTGTCTAAGGCATGTTTCGAGTTAGCACCTCAGTGGTCACGTCAACCTAAGCCTGACTACTTCACATGCTTGGTTAGGTAGCAAGCGCATGACACAACCCTGCAAGACCAAGACGCAATGTTTCGTGGTGAACTGGCATGCCACTACTTGTGATCAGCTAAGCTCAGTTGACCGCCCGCCATGCGCTGCGACTCGAGAAGCATTGCGATTCGCGAGAGGCCTCATGCGCGACGAATCCCGCACGTCGTCTCCTCTCGACTCTAGACAGTATCACTTTGCCCTTGCTTCAGGCCTAGAGTGTAGGACGGAAAAAAAATAGCGTGGGTGCACGTCCAAGGCACTGGGGGGCAGCAAGGGCACCAGCAGCACAGAGGCATCTGTCCTGTGCTGCATGTATGACGTCGTGCCGGCCCCACCACTCCTTCGACTGTGTCTCCCAGCTTTTCGGGGGTGGGAACAATGAGTTAGAGAACAGACACAGCAACCACCGCCAAGGGGCGCGCGATGCACCAGGAGGTCTCGATGTGATTCGCGTTAGTGCCGGAACAGTCGCGTTCCTGAACGCAGCGGGTCGAGCCAGGCCCGCGTCAATCTTGGCCAAGGAAGCTGGCGAGCTTGTCTCGGGTCCCCGATGGTGCAGGCTGTTGATTGAGGCTGAGCATGAAGAACAGGCACGGCCGAACCTGGCTCGTGAGGAGCCGCGCTCGGGGGGGGGAGTGGGATTGGGATTGGGATCTACCTAGAACGGCCCAGGCTAGGGAGCAAGCTGCCAAGGTCTTTGGGCCTGGCGTCGGCAGCAAGTCGAGTTGAGTATCGACTGCTGGTTAGTGTTTCTTTGATTCCCCTTCGCTGTCTTTTATTTTGGCTGTGTTGCCTGGGCAGCACGGCACCTGAGCACGATGTGGTCCCCCATCCCAAAGTCAAGACAAGGGAACAGAGTGGGAGGGAGGGTTGTGGTCGATCCAGGCACGAGAGCCTTGATATTGTGAGACAACCAGTTGGTCTTTGCGGGTACACAGGATGTGTCGGATCCGCCGATGCGGCGAGATCTGTTGGACTAGGACTAGACGTGAACGTGTCGTGTGGCGGCTGGTCGTCTGAAAGCGGCAGCTTGTGCAGAATGGGGCAGCGTGCTTGACGAATCTACCTAGGTACCTAGCTGTCGCAGGGGTTCAGAGCGTGGGACACTCGGTGCTGAAGGGTTCTTCTGGTGGAAGGCCTGCTCGTGATGTTTGTGTGTCCATGTTGCAATCTGGAGATGCAGGACGGCCATGAGACTCTGCTTGGGGAACCAAAAGAGCCGAGTAACCATGCATGCGACAGGGGAGAGAAGGGTGGGCGAGGTGAGCTCCCCATGAGTGATCGACGCGGGAGCGCATCATTACGGCGATGTCGATTAGGGCCAGCAGCAGCGGCAGCAGCAGCAGCCATCAGTGGAAAGCCACCGCGCGCTGAATAAGGTGGATCAGCGCTACCTGGTCTGCCTGGCCTCTGGCTAGCCCCGGTAATTCCCTGTTTAGGCCGCTTAGCGCAGCCTCCCACCGCGTCCGTCGTCATCAGTGGAGCTCGACGCTGCACCTTTCTGAGCCTGCTGGTTGCTGGTCGCTGGTTGCTGCTGCTTAATGCTGCTTGGTCGTCGCTGCTCTCCGCGGCCGGATGGTCGGTCTTGCTTCCTTCCTCTCCTCCTCACCCCCCGGCCCTTGCCTGCCCTTGCTTGCTTGCCATTGCCTTCCCTGAATGGTAAAAATCCACCAGCGTTCCCCATCCCCCAATCCACCATCCAATCCCCAGAGCCAAGCATCGCATCAGGCAGACCACCTCCCCCCCCCAGCACTTTTTCCTACCCTAGAAACGGGGAGAGTCCTCATCCATCATCCGACGCTCCGCATCATTCATCGTCCACATCAGCATCATCATTCCCTCTCTCCCCCTTCCCTTCTCTAGTTATTCTTTGATCCCGCGCCGCCGCAGCGTCCGGCTCATCAGTCTGAACCGTTTCCGCCGCACCAACCGAACACCACACGCAACGTTCATACAAAGCGCCGCAGTAATGCAGGCTGCCATTTAACGTTCCTCGTAAAACAACGTCAAAGCTGGAGACTGCGCCCACCATCCAACCCTCCTGGGAGTAAAGCTTCGACGAGCTCGCCATCATGTTCGGCAGCATGAGGAAGAAGCACCGGCAGCCAGCACAGGTAAGCTACCAATTGGAGAGGCGTCATCTGCTGCACATCTTCACACCTCTGCCACCGTCCAAATACAAAACGATAAAAAGACCCAAGTCTGACCGTTGCGACCTTCTGTAGCCTCTGACTGCCGCCACCGCAAACCCAAACGCGGCCACCGCCGCCGCTGCCGTCTTTGGGCGCCACAACTCCGATGCCTCGCTCTCCTCTGCCGCCGCCGCCGCCGCGTTGCGATCAAGGCCGACGACGCCGATCAATGTCGGCGAGGTCCAGACCAAGCGCACCCAACGCCGGAGCGCATCCGTCTCCTCACAGAACAGCCAACACGACGCGCGACGAGCCCTTCACAGAACCGCCAGCCAGAGCTCCATGACGGAACGCACATTCCGCACGCCCTCGCCCTCACCACATCGACCCGTCTCGTCTGGCGCATACGACTCGCCGCCGCCCGTGCCCGCCATCCCCGAAGACATGCGATCCGACAACGGTAGGAACACTCACAAGAGAGCAACCAGCTTACAGACTCAGCCCTTCCGAGTCGCAAGCCAGAAAAAGCAAGGAGGAGCGGGGTCTTGGTTCGGCGCCGCCACCGAGGGCCCAGCGGTCAATGTCAGAAAGTCGGATGCGTTGCTGTCGCGAACTCAGCCCTCTGAATCTCGACCAGGAGCCGTAAGCCCAACTTCTTCTATCAATTTCTCTCGTCCAAGAGCCTTGCAGGCCGGCTCACCGCCCGCCTCGCCAATCTTCGAAAGAATGCCCTCAGTGACACACAGCCAGCGATATGTTGCTCCCCATCGAGCCCAGTCCGTCACCTCGACCCACTCGTCCGTCGCCTCCGACCAGTCGTTGGTCTACGATCCCAACTCGAGACGGATGGTGCCCAAGGCCGATTTGCTGGCGAGGGAGTACGACATCGAGCCGAGCGAGAAGCCAGTCAAGAGAAAAAAGAAGCAGCAGCAGCAGCAGTTGCCGCTGGGAAGGAGCGGGTCTCACCTTGCGCAGGGAACAGTGGCGAGAGCCAGAGGTACTGCAGTTGAAGGTGAAGAATCGCACGTTCAGACACGTTCACAGCCACAGGCACAGGCACAGATCCAACCAGAAGTTGAAACCAAGGCCCAACCCCAACTCGTCGTCCGAACCCAGCCTCAGTCGCAACGATTTGTCCGGCCCGAGAGTCCAGAACCCAAGACCCGTCAGCGCCACCCGCAAACAGAGCAACCGGCCCCGATCATGACAGCCGCAGTCGCGGCCGCCGTGGCATCAGGGACAGGCCCTCGAACGCCGGAGCCTCCTCGCGTGCAGGCTTCGACCACAGCCGATCGCACTGGTCACGTCAGCAACGGCACCGCTGCTCCAGTCCAGGCTCATCAGACGGACAGTGCGCCACCCAGCGGCAGGGCCGAGCTTGAAGACGAGGAGTCTTCCGAAGAAGATGAAGAGGACGAGGAGGAGGATCTTGTTGATGGAGCTACCGCTCACCCTGAATCAGAACCCTACGGCGCTGAGGCTGTGCCCGCAAACACGGCTCGCCACTCGTCTCCTCCATCCTTCTCGACCAGCAGCACGGCCGTTGATAATTTTGCCGACAACGTTGTGTCGTCAGCACCGCCCAAACAGCACGGTAGCGTGCGAAGCCTCCGAGAGCATTCAAACAGCCCGGTGCGGAATGCGCGCTTTGCGCTGCGAACTGACCAACTTGTAGTCAAACACGAGCCTCCTGCGAGGTCCGTGTCGCCCCGAAAGTCGGCTCTGAAGAACTCGTCGAGTCCATCGCGAGGTGCCTCGCCGTCAGAAGATGGTTCGGATCTGGGCCTGGAGCACTACGCAAGCCACCAGGACGATCTGCCTTCCAATCGGAAGAAGAGCGTACGCGTCAGCTTTGACGAGCACAGCACGCAAGTGATTGGCGAGTCTGCCCAGGAGCAACATGCAGATTCACCTATCGTGCCGAGCCCTCAAACAGCACGACGACCATGGTACAGCAACATTGGCCGCAACAAGAAAAAGGACTCGGTAGCTCTGGACGTTGACGAAGTCATGCAACCTCGCCCCGCCCTGCCATCTTTCGGGAGCGTTCGGGACAAGAAGCCGAAAGAGACTGAAGAGGAGCGTCCGCTCGTGCGGCCTGTCGAGTCTGAGCATTCGCCCGCCATCTCAGCCTCGCCAGCGGCTCTTCCTTCATCGCCCGACGATGGGGAAATTGATGATCCCATTGGCCACTCCACCGACGGCAATCTGGCCTCCATTCTGACCCGAGAGAATGCGGCGAAGAACGAGGCAAACATCTCCAAGTTCAGAGAACCGCTGCCTCCTGTTGTCACCTCTCTGGAAGGAACCGGATATCACTCCCCAAGCTCCTCCAGCAGCGACGACGAGGATGGCGAGGGGTCGCCTCCTACGCAGGAGACGTTCCTAGACTCCATTGCAGAGGCTCCGTCGGAACCAGCTTTGAACCCCCTGGACGAGACGAAGGAGGAGGAAACTCTTGTCGAGAATACCGAACGCATAAACGTGGGTGGTACTGGCGCAACGCACCTACAGGTAGATACGGGTCGCGAATTATCACAGGACGCTGTTCCTATCATCGCCATCATCGAACCTAGCCCAGGTCTCCAGGAACCCAGCGTGGGTGGCGCAGGCGCAGGGTACTTTGACGTTCCTGGTGGGTTCCCAGAGGACGACAATGATAGCAATAACGTATCAAGGCCTGCCGCCGTGCCCACTGGGCGCGAGGCAGAAGCGAAGACTGCTGTTGCTCCTATCCAGATCCCAACAAGTTCCACGGACTCAAGCGTCGACGAACTCGAGGCCTCTCCATCGAACACGCCTACCGCCCGGGCTCCCGGTGTTTCCACCATCAACGAAGAAACCGAATCATCTGGCAGCAGTATCTACAGCGATGCTTACGAAGATTTATCAGACGCTGAAGGCGACGGCTTCTTATCGCTAGATGCTGTCTTGACAACTCCCGTTTCGCAAAAGGTTTCGAAAAGACTATTTGAAAAGGCACTGATTGGCTCATCGAAGGAGGCATCGAAAGATGATAGCATTCAGAGATCTGATCTTTTCGTCGCTTCCGCTCCGGCAACTGAACCTCTCGAAACGCAAGACGATTGGGACAAGGCTAAACTGTATTGGAAGAGCTTGACCAACGACAAACGCAAGCAGCTCGAGCGCGAGGCTCAGGAAGAGGCTGGTGTCGAGGCCGACGAAGAACAAGTTACGCATCCCAAGAAGACAAAGAAGAAGAGGTCTTCGCGCGCCTCTCAGGTGTCCAAGCCCTCCGAGCAAGACACGGAACAGGAGGCAGTGCAACAGCGTCACGGCGATGCCGAGCGCAACTACCAAATCAAGCCAGGAACCAAATACGCATCGCAGGATGACGCTGGGGTTCCCCCGATGCGCCAATCTCTGCGAGGCACCGAGTCACAGCAGGGATCAGGTGTTGGTGGCTCAAGGCTTAAGAAATCGATGAGAGCTTCACAACCCGCAGCGACCAATGTGTCGGAGCCCACCATGCGTCGGACCCTACGCGCAGGTCCGCCCGAGACGAATGGTGCGCACAGCCGCAAGGCTTCTTCACAGGAGACGGCCCAAAGTAATGGCAACATGCGCAAGTCTATGAGACAGAATGGCAACCCGCAACCTGTCATCAGCCAGCCCGAACCGGCAGCCAGGAAGACTGGACGTCCCCTCAGTCTGCAGCAAGCTCCCACGCCTCGGGAGGCAGGCCCGAATCACAAGAGACAGTCATCAGTCGACTCTCCGGCCGCCGCTGCTGCTCTGGCCACCACACAGCCCAGCCTTCGCCGTCGAGGTTCGGATTCAAGCGAAAGCAGTTTTAAGCGGGCTCGACCCCAAAAACAAGCCCAGGGCTTTGGCTTCCGTCGGTCAATGAGGGCAGCCTCGCCTGAAAGGCCGGTTGAAAATAAGAGCTCCCGATTCAGCCTTCGATCCCTATCGCCGGTCGGGCGCCAGAACACTACGTCTCCACCCCCAACCACGGCCATGGGCAATCGCATGAGCATGCGATCCACGTTGCGCAGTGAGTCGGTCGACAGAGGCTCTTCTCGTATGCATATGCCCTCCTTTGGGCGATCATCGGGGAAGAAGGTTGCGGAGAAGAAGAACAAGAACCGATATGGAGACTCGAGTGACGAGGACGCTGCAGGGCCGTCCACTTTCCGTAGCCGCTTCGCTGACTCGAGCGACGAGGACGAGCCTTCCGCGCCGCCACCTGCCGCCGGCAAAATGCCGAAGAGTCTACGAAATGGCGGAGGCGCCTCGAGCTCGGCTGCTGCAGCTGCTATGAACCTGCCGACAACTCGTCAGAGACAGGATGCGGCAGAGTTCTCAGAGGAACTTTCTGACAGCAGCGACGAGGACCTGGCACCACCGCAACGAACGCCCAGCGGCAGGCTCGTCAGGGCGAACTCGGAGGGTCGTGGTCTCCAACGCAAACGATCTGGTCGCGGCGAACTGATGGAGTCTGCGACAACACCAGCAGTCAACAGCACCGAGTCGGCGACTCGGCCCGGGCACACTCGGCGGGGGAGCTTCTTCTCCGTTCTCCGCCGAAGAAAAGACAAGGATGGTGCTGGTAAAATATCGCGGCCGGAACCGAGAGAAAGTGCTGCTAGGCAAGGCACGAAACTCGAACGGAGCAACAGCGAGATCTCGGCGCTCCGTGTCAACAACTCATCGCCGCGCCTGCAAAAGAGGCAGCCGGCAAACTGGCCCCTCCCCGATACCACCGCACGACCGGCCACCTCTGGTGGTCCCGCCACGGGAGACTCCGCTCCGCAGCCACCATTTATGAAGCGTCGTAGCATCAGCCACACCTTTGGCGCGAGCAACAGCCATCATTTGCAGCAGCAGGAGCAGCTGAATGGGAACGTCACCCCAGACCTGGACGAGCAGTCCCAGGCGGGCGGGTCTGTAATGAAGAAGAAGAAGTTTGGCAAGCTGAGGAGAATGTTCGGACTGAACGACTAGGGGTCTGCACACGTGTTGGGATGTCTATCTCACAACGAGCCGAGCACCTCAAGTGGAAGGAAGGCAGCGCCCGATCGAGTCAGATCGTAATTCTAATGTAACAGGCGAGAAAGATGCTCGGAGTGAACCTCTCTTTTGTCAGTGAACGGGTACCGAAAACCTCTGGGGGCGTACGCAGGGTAGCAAACGTTAGACCGGGACTGCGTCAACGCACGCAATTTTTTTTGTTTTTCGTTTCCTTTTCCTTCTATTTTTTTCTTTTGGCTTTCTTTCTGTTTCTCCAGCCTTGTGATTGACGCTTTTCTCTCGATTTGTCCCTTCACCTCGGCTTTTGTATCACGAATTGGCACGGCGGCGAATACTCGGGGTGATCCATCTAGTGGACGACGGCGCAACTGCAGGTCTAGATAGGAGTGCTGGGCGGTTTAGGGCAAGAAAAGGGGTGTCCCGGCGGTGCTGAGGAGCTGTGCTGGGGTGGATGGATATGCCGCCTTTTGGCGGTGAGTGCAGCAGTAATCTCGGACATGAAGCTCTGGGGGGTCTTAGTCGTAATAGAGGTGAGGCTTTTGGCCGATATCTATGTGAGCGTGTGCCTGAGTGTGTGTGAGTGGGATGCATGTGTGCTCGAGTCAGTTCCTCTTGACCGTGTCGGCTCACGAGTCGGCCCAGGGATGCCATTCCTGGAGTGGTGCCGCGAACTGCACGACTGTGACTCTTCTCGCCTGCGAGCATCCCGAGATGTCAGCATGTGTCCAGCAGTCCAGCGTCTACAGCTCCACAGAAGAGGGGTTCGGATTTGCCATCACTCCATGTTGGTCCTCGCAACGCCGGAGTGCCACATAGTAATGGTACTGACAAGGTCATACGTCAGATATCACAAGACTGTCTCTGTCAATCTATCTCGGAGTCCAGTGCAATCAGCATGGAAAACGCCAGATCTTAGCAAAGAAAGGAAAGAAAGAAAGAAAGACCCTAAGAAGGCCCACAGCACTCCTGGTGGAGGCTCTCTTGTCCCTAGTCATTCGTGATCGACCCTTCCTTTTCCCCGTGCCGCCTCGCAGCCCTTCCAGAAGTTTTCCACCCGCGTGACGGGGCCTTGATTCGGGCAGGATCGGCGGCGCGGAGTTGTGGTGCGGTGCGGTGCGGAGGCCAGCCTGTGCGGATCCGATACCTTGGGGTTGGGACAATGACTCGACCCGATGCAGGGCTGGGGGTGCAGGGTCTGTGGGCTTTTTTCTTCCCTGGAGGACATGGGGAAGTGGGAGGGGGCACATTGGCAAACTTGGTGGTTGTCAGGATGTCTCAGAGTGTGGCGGTGGTGGTGGTGTTAGGGGGTTATTTTCTTTCCTTTCTGAGCTTCAAGGTGCGTCAGCTGGTATATCCTGTAGACGGTTGCGGTCCTGTGTCCCGAGGGCTCGACAGGCGATGCAAGTATGTGCTAGTCAACGAGACGAAACGGGGGGGAACCTCGGCATCTGGAGGAGCAAAGGTAGATTGTGAAATTGCTGTTCAACTATGGATTGGGAACGGGACACTAAGCCTCTGTCAGGTCGCCGCTGGTCGCCCAGTACACATTGTAGTTGAAGCCGTGTGCCTCGTAGAACGGTCCCAGCTTGACGGAACTTCCACCCGAAGTGGCTTCAAAGTCAAGTTCGCCACCCTCGACCTTGCGTACTGAGCCTAGATCGAGGCTGGGAACTTCGTCCAGAGTGTTGCTGCCATAGTTAGCAGCCAGCACAACTGGGCCATACGCGAGAGCCGCCACAGATGGCTCGTCGTTGGCGGAAATGGTGTGCAGTGCCATGGGCAGAGTGATGGTGACAATGTCCTCCTCACCCCAAGATCTTTTGATAGTGGCATAGGTCCCCGGCGCAGCCTCGACTCCATCCAGTGCTTGTCCATTGATGGCGATTGTGGCTCCCTTTGACCACATTGGGATCCGTACACGCAGGTCCCAATCGCCTCCCCCCTTTACCGTCAAGGTCGACGTATCTTGCAGCGGAAACTCCGTCTCCTGGAGTACGGTAACCTTTCTCTGCGTCCAGTTCAATTTCGATGGTGCGTACAAATTGACGTAGAGAGAAGACTCGTCGTAGAAGTAGATGGAGTCCATCAGCTTCGTGTTGGTCTCCAGTGCGGTACCCTGACAACACCACGCCGTGCCATAGTCAGTACTCCATGTACCTCCACCCCAGGCAGGCCCGACGCCTCGATGGCCGCCAGGGTTGAGAGACGTGAAGTAGGTGACATGACCATGGGCACTCGAGGGGTCTTGTTGTCCAATGGCGTGGTTGATAAGGGCTTGCTCATAAAAGTCAAAGTACTTGGAGTTGCTGGGGTCCATGACCCAGAGCTCGCGGGTCAGTTTAAGCATGTTGTACGTGTTGCACGCCTCGGCTGTGTCCTCGTCCAAGTAGCTGGCAATCGCGTTCGGGGGCCTGAAGTGTTCAGACTGACTGTTGGCGCCAATGGCATACGTGTGGGCCTGCACGGTAATGTTCCAGGCATTGCGGGCAATGTCGCTGTATCGTGTTGTCCCTGTGGCCTTGTACTCGCGAGCTGCCCCAATCCACTTCGGCACCTGCGTATTGGCGTGCAGCCCGTTCAGGCTATCTCGGTTGCCTGCCAGGGGGTCGAAGACGGATGCGTGATCGAACCGTTGAGCAACAGTGAGCCAGCGTTCGTCGCCTGTCTGGTGGAAGATGTCGGCCATGACTTCGTTCATCCCACCAAACTCGGTCGACATCATGGTCTGCATCTGGCTATAGCTCAGTTTTCCGGTGCGCAGGTCTACCCACCCAGCCATGCCAAGTAGGACATCTCGTGCTGTTTCGTCACCTATGTGCCGCCACACATCTAGAAGCCCGGCCATGGTTTTGTGGATGGAGTAGTACGGAACATTGCCGTTACTCAGAGTCCGCTTCTCCAGAGCCTCGATTTCCGACTCGGGAAACCCAGACAGATAGCCTGGATTGAAACCCGCCTGCTCATTGTTGGCCTGGCATTTGGCCAATTCGGTCGCAAAATAGCTTGCCCTGTCGCGGCACTCCTCGTCGCGAAGAACAGCCCAACAGTAGGACCAGGCGTTCAAGAAGTGCCCTTGGAAGTGGGAGCGGAATGGAAAGTCAGGAGCATCCCAGCCACCGTTGGGTTGGGCGCCCTGCAGGGGAAGCCCGTGAGTTTGCCGAAAGACATAAAGCAGGCGGTCGACGTCAACAAATTTGATGTAGCTGAGTGTCCGATCTTGATTCTCTAGCCATCTGCCCGGGTTCAAGGATACTTGGCTCATGTCGAAAGCAAAGGCTGAGACACCAATCTCGGTGCTCGCTGGCGGAACAGCCTGGCCATGGACATTTGACGACGCGGCGGATAGCGTCAATGCGAAAGCCAAGAGACTGGAAAGTCTGTAACACCGTTCGGAGACTAACGAGGACAGCATTGTGTTTGTTGTAGCTGAGGGCGAATTTGAAAGAACTGCCGAAGTCTTTGGGACATAGGAGAACTAGCATAGCGAAGCAAGAGCGGCCATATTTATACTTGCGCAGTTGCCAGACTTCTTTCTTCTCGGGGTGTACAAGCATGAAGTGGAAATCCGGGGAGTTGGGGTCGTATTCACCATTCATTTTGGTCGATCTCCGAGCGGCATGCCTTCCAACTGGTGCGCATGGGCGGCAATCAAGTGAAGCTACCCCGCGTATGGGGTGACGATCCCTAGATCTCCTGCGGATTTGGGGTTGGCCTGGGTGAAAGCATGTCGGCATCAAAGACCCGATCCGCTCAAGAAGGTTGATAACCGGATTTTGAGAGGCTTCTTGCGTGTTTGTCACCGTCGTAGGGTTACATTGAACATGTAAATCGCTTGTCCCGACGAAACCAGCAGCTTTACCGCTCCAACACGAGTCAAGCAAGGATCATGACGAGCATTACCATGCATCCAGACCAGTACTGTACAGCCCTGTCCGTTGGTTTGCACCCATAGATCCCATAGATACCAAGAGAATGGTGTGTAAATTTTGTCGGATTGCCATAACTCCAGTTTCATGCAATACACCTCATCAGCGCCAGACTAATACATGCGAAAGAAAGTTTTCCTGCCGAAAGAGAATGCCCACGTAAAAATACAAAAAGTTTTCGTCATGGTGGGTTTATGACTTTGATCTGGGCTTCGCGCGCCCCTTGTCGTCAGATCGTGCTTTCTCGCGTTCCAACAGAAGAGTCAACTGGCTTCTCGATCGGGCCAGCGGTACTGACGGGGCCGAACTCGGTATGGTAGGCATCAGTAGAGAGGTGGTAGAAGGGTTCCTCGCCAGATAGGGCCTGCTGATGTCGTGGTTGAGGGCTCCAATGGCTTGGAGAGCAACAATGTCCGGTTCGTCTGCGATTCTCGAGAGCTGTCCGTTTGCGGCGATGTTCGACGTGACTGCCGTAGCATTTGAGAGCAGCCCATATGACGCAGTACGGCCAATACTAGTTTGACGGGGGCGGTGGCGTTCCGTGTTTGACGACGACCGCTCCATGCTTGGTGACATAGGGCCTCTGTGCTCATTTGTAAATGCTGGCGTGCTTGACCTCGGCGCAGACGTAGGGCCTCGATAAACGCTCGTCTGCCCGCTGTGAAACGCCGAGAACCCGTCTTTCCGTGGGCTACCGTAAGAATCAACCGGTATTCGCGACCGTGGCCCGCCGGGCAGCGCCTGTGTCGGTTTAGGCAAAGGCTGTTCGGCAGGCGATTGTGCTTGATGATGTCGGTGATTCTGGTTCGCTACTGTAACCGCTGGGTTTGGTTGCACGGCCGGCTTCTTACCGAATGCTTTGGCACTCAACATGGTGTCGTTGGGGTGAGAGTCTGGGGTTGTCTGAGCGGATGCCCGATCCGGATTCGATGTCACACTGCCCTGCTGACTCCCGGAAAAGCGAGAGCCTGCAGACGACCCCGCCTTTGGATGAGGCTCTGAGCTTCCTGCGGATGATTGAGAGCTTTGTCTTCGAGCCAGCAAAGGCCTTCGCTTCGAAGCTGTGGATGAAGCAACGAATCTCTTTGTTGGCGCAGCAGCCTTCTTTCTACTAGTTTTTCCCGACGATGCCGCAGCGTCCGAGGAGGCTCGCATGTCTAGCCCGCTCGTGGCGGTGCTGCCAGAGGAGACCTCTTCACTTGACTTGCACTCGTCCTCATCGGAGCTAGGCGGTGAAACGAAACGAGCTGTTGGGCGGGGGCCGGACTTTGAATCACCTCTGGATTTCTTCAAAATAGGGTGAGGTGGTGGAGGCCGTGAAGAGGACGCCGAGAGTTCTTTGACAGATGCCGGTTCGCCGTTTCGGCTGGGCTCCGGAACATGGGGCGGCAGAGCGTCTGCTAGAACGTCTTGCAGGTCAGATGGCGGGTTAGAAGGCACGTTGAGCAGCAAATTTGTTGACTGGGAACTCTTCATAGGCACCACCGTTTTAGGTTCATCCTGCTTACATGATCAGCCGGGAACCTGCGGCAACACAGCGAGGGCAAGGTGATACATACGATTGGGGGCTCGTAACGGTTGGGAGACCCTTTTAGTGGCACGAAGGTTGGGCCAGAGGAGATTTGCTGCCATATGTCGGCAAGAACTTCAGCCTTGAGATGGCGCCTGTCGCTGCCCCAGACATGCCACCAAAAGTTCTCGAGTCGGCGCGCAGTCGGATCGTAGAGCTGCTTATTTGTTGTGGTATACACTATTCATGAGAAAGGCAAGTCAGCCACGCGGGTCATAATGAGACAGGCTGCGCAGCTTTCGATGAATTCAGTCGTGTGCGGTAACGACTTACCCTGCCAAAACTGTCTGATGACGTCGAGAGACAGATGATTAAGGTTGGCCACCTTTCCATAGATGCGCTTGTCGTCTTCAACGAAGCCCTTGGGCAGATCCATGTTGGCAAATGGCGACTAATGGCGAAAGATAAACTCAGAAGAAGGCGAGTACGGCGTGACGAGTGTGGTGGTGCGGATGACGGGCACACTGTCGAAAGGGAGGCGCTCAGAGGTGGCGCGGACTACGGAAAAGAGTGAGAGACACGCATTGTCGCCGCGTTGGCCTGATAATTAGATGTGGTAATCCGCGGCGATTGTGAATCGAGATGAGAAGCACAGCAGTGACAATGTGAGACGGATGGCTGGCGCAACCTGTTGTGAAGAGCAGTTGGGTCGGCCTCTTTTGATTCCACCAGCATGTGGAGAGAGGTTGTTCTGTGCGTTGTGATGGTGAAGAGTGGTGCGCAATGTTCGAGGAGCGGAGGAATCCTCTGGAACTGCGTGCGGTTGCCCGTTGTCGAGTGAGGCCCGAAGAAACCGTGTTGTTTCTGAGAGTGCTGGCTCGCCTCTACGACGATGCTGGGAAAGAAATGGTCGTCGACTTTGCTGGTGAGGGCGATAGCGTCGGTACAAACGGAAGCTACCCGGTTACTACAACGGCTCTAGTCGCCGATGGATCCAGGATAGAGTGCTGGCTCGGGTCAAGGTCATCTGTGTGCTGTGAACGCACAATAGGATCTCGGGGTTCGGAAGACGATGGGCACAGCCAGCACCAGGTTGGGGACAAGGTGAAGGAAAGTAGAGGAAGGAAGGAGATGTCGAAGTTAGGCAAGGGTGAGACGAGGTCGAGTGGATGTAGCTGGGCGGAGCGCGTTCCCTAGGTCCCTCCTACTCCGCTACCGACGTACGATTGCCGCTCTGGCTTCGGTTGTGTGGTGAAAATGGCCGGCCTGTCAGTGGACTCTGGCTACCTAGGTAAGGTAGCTGGAGGAGGGCAAACAGAGGGCAGAGGGCGATAGGGGGTAGCGAGAGAGGAAGGGAAAAAAATGCACCAGATGTGGAGGAGGAGGACGGCGGAGCATGATTCACACATGGGTGGCGCTACATGGGGGAAGGGCCTCGTGGAGCCCCTGCTCTAGCCCCTAATGATTTTTAGCTTCTAGGTAATAAGGCAAGATCGGTAAGATAGCCAGCTAGCCACCTGCAACCCGGGTCTTGCCATTGCTCGAGCGCCTTTCGCGAGTGAGGAGGTACCTACGGCATGTGCGGGAGTACCTTCGACACCTAGGTACCTACCTACAGTACCTAAGGTACCTACCTAAGGTTCCTTGCCTTGCACACCAACCAGCACCATAGTTGTCGGTGAGGGGCGATGCGCTGCTGGTGGGCCAACTACCTGGCACAGGGCGATCGGAGAGCACACGGGGCCGCCCGTGACTGGAAGTGAGTTGACCCTGGAGAAAGGGGGGTGGGAAGGGTAGAGGTTTATTTGCCGGCGTGGCAGGCTGCACATGTGTTCTCGAGGGAGGAGGGGGCGCGATAGAGAATGGGGTAGGTACCTAGGTAATTAGGTACTCAGGTAGGTGCGTCCTTAGGTACCGTGCCTTAGACAGGGAGGGGAGGTGCAGGAACAGGTGCAGCAGTCACTGGGCCTCCACCTCTCATCGTACCTGCCTCGAAAGAATGTGGCAATCCCAAGGGAGGTGCAACGTACCTATTGTGCACACCTCCTGCTCGAGCTCTGGCCTGGGCCACCAGTCCAACAGTCAGTCTCCTTCGATGGCGTGCTCGCTTGTCCTTTCAGTTTTCTCTCCTCCCATCCCCGCCTCTCGCGAGGAGGAGAGTCGTAACCTAGAGGCTCAGCGAAGCTCTCTACCACCTCCAAATCCCCGCTCCACGCCTTGTCCATCAAGACTCAAGCCATGTCTGGATCTCGCGCTTTCGAAAGCCCACATTGGCGAATAGCTCTCTGCCCCAGATCCAGTGACTGACCCAGCCCACAGCTGCCAACTCAATGGCTGGCTCCGTGCACCCTACAGACGGCGGTGAGCTGCCTGAAGGCGCCCAGATAAGTCATCCCAGCTGCAATGCTTGTCATGGCTGGGTCTGACTGCCGACTTCTCCATCTCGTCCTCCGATTGCTCTGTTCGACACGGCTCGACCGCTGTCACGCAATGTCTACCGTTTGACTCAGCAGAAACCCATGATCTATTACCTTCGGGCTCGGTCTCTTCCGCACACCGCTGTGGGGCCGACAACACTGCCAGCGACAAGGGGTCATCACAGTAGCTTACCACCTTGCCAACTGCCTCCCTGCCGCGGCCGAGCATCTCCTGGCAGCCCCCACAACCTCAGAAGGCGACATTCTAGAACACGACGGGCTGACAACGGCCCTCGCCACCGCCGCCGATTGTGAAGGACAAGCAGAGCAAGATCCACAAGTGCTTGACAGCGTCCTTGTGCGGCGCTCGACACCGACAGAACCACCCTGCCCTGACATGTTCTCGATTGACACCTTCACGCCAGCTACCTACCTACCTGGTCGACTATCGTCCCGGACACGGCTCTCTCGGCTCACCGCCGTGTCCTGTTCGAAATGTCACAACTGACTAGTAAAGAAGCAAGTCGTTGTCACGCTCTAGGTACTTTCGGAAGTGACATTTGTCATGGTATTCACCCGCGCCATCAGCGCCTCTGATCCCACCTGTCGGCCACTCGACGAGTTCAACGAGACTACCATACAATCAATTCTCGCTCAGCCTGAAGGAGCGAGAGTTTTCCCGCTTCCACCCCCTCCTTGTGATCTTGTGACGTCTCATGATCTCCCGTTGCGGGGAGACGCCGGTCACTAGAGTCGTGTGATCAATCCCATGTCACGGGATGGTAGGCGCAACGGAAGAGGGCTGAGTGGACAGTTGCGCTTCAACGCGGTCCAATGCAATCTACTCCGCCGTTTCGCCGAGGTGCCAAAGCTTGTCTCGTCTCATCTCGCTCCAAAACCCCGCGCTTCAGGGGAGGGTAAGAAGCCTCCAGGGGAAAGGATTCCAAAGAGGGGGGAAAGCGTCGGGAGGAGAAATCCGGGGCAACCCCCTGCCGCGAACCGTTTCTGCTGCTCTGTCCCATTACATCCCAGCACCATCTCTAAAAGTATTCTTTCTGTCTGCTCATTCTGCCTTGTGTGGAGAAGACAACCGATCAAGTTGTCGTCCCGGACACTAGGCTGGCTATCGGATACCACAATGAGGTCAGTCAATTACTTAGCCAACATTGATTGATGTTGTATCGCTTATAGCAAGCTTGCGTACTGGTCAACCGAGCTTTATCATGGTACAAGTGGACTTGCGTCAGGCGAGAACAGGCCTACGGTGTCTCGGGCAAAGGTCAGCATGTACGACTTTTGGTCTTCGGGGAAAGTACGCCCGAGAAGCCAGGAGCTAGAGGCTCAGTCACTGACTGCGTCAAGGCCGAATGGTAGTTTTCGGACAGGGCAAGCCTTCGTCTTGGGCTATCCATCTTTGATCGTTCATCTCCAACCTCTATCGTCGCCTGCCACTGACCTCCCATCCTGAGCTCCACCGATGCCCCCCTTACCGTCTTGGTCGTCTTCCATTGTCGTCTCCCTATACCCTCCCTTGCGAGCCTCCCATCAGCATTTTCAAGACACCCCGTTCGGTGTCTACACATCATTGTTCTCCCGCCTGAATCTTTCAGTGCTAATGCTTTTCTTCATCGACCCTAACTATTCATCCATCTCGCTCCTTCGTTATCAAGTGAAACGATGTCTGATAGACAGCAAAGTATGATCAGTAGGAGATCGAAAGTGGTTATCAAGAAATCTGTACCACCAACACCTCATGTGCCAGGGTACAGCACGGCTGGATAACCGGATATCAAGCCCATGGATAGCATGAGCCGAAGTAGCGGGCTATCTACCTGACCAGCGTCACGCCATTCGACCCTATTCTTGTGAATTCCTGCATGGTTATCTACTTCTGCTTTAAGTTCTGGGACGGTTCGGACGATGCCACACGCCAAGCAGCCGCAGACCTGCAAAGGCTACCGACCCGAGGACCAACGCTTCAACCCATACCTTCAGCCTCTCTCGCTCAGCTGGGGACCCATCTGGTGAGTCGCGCCGATGTGCGTCTACCGATCGATGCCGATACCTCGCAGATGGGCACAATCTCGAATCATCCTGCCGGCCGATGTAGTCTCCATTTCGACGAGATAGCCACGATCAATAGCGACCTCACCGCCAAGCCACCTGAACCGTCGGTGTTGACCGGCGGTATCAGGTCTGTGATGGTGCGAGGAACTGCGGCAGTTGAGGAGACGGGGGAACGCCAAGTGTGACTCGTGTGTCATTCGGCCTGTTTTGACCTCTCCTTCCCCGGGTGCCTTGTGCTGGAGCCTACCAAAAATGAGCCGCAAGACGGAGGCTGGGGTTGGAATTCTGGCTGTCGCTGATGATACACGCAGGTCGGCCGTGGATATACCCATTGGTAATTCATACCGCGAGCGGCCAACGATCTCCACGCCGAGGGTGAACAAACCGTCGTCGTGCCTTCACCAGTAATGCCATCGCCACCACGTCGCACAGGCTGGACTCCAGAGAATGATCCGATGGCTGAAGCTGCGGCACGTCGTTGACAGGTGTAAAGACTGGATGCTCATGGCACAGTTGGACGTGCCGCCATGGCCCACGCTCCAGCACAACAAGGAATCACGTATTTTCCGCATCAACCGGGAACCGCCTTCACAGTGAAACGTTCAAGAAAAGGGTAAAGATGTTCATGTGTGTCCCTTATTTTCCCGAATTAGATGGTTGCGAACATTAAATGTACGCCGCCGCTCATGCGGCGCGCATTTTTCTTCCCACTTCACACCACACCACATACGTCATGGTCCCATCGTAGCGGGTCCATTTCACAGGAAGCCCAACAGCACGCAAAGGGCCTTTCCGCTTTGCGAGCAGCAGGGATTTCTTCCTCCCACCATCGCCATGTTCTTTATTCATGGCGCCTCGCCGCTTCCTCTCGCTTAGGTGACGGTGTACCCGCCGTCGACGCGGAGGTCGGCGCCGGTGACGTACTGCGAGGCATCGGAGAGCAGGAAGGTGACGGGACCCATGAGGTCCTTGGGCTGGCCCATCTTGCCCTGGGGGATGAGGGAGATCCACTTCTTCTTGAGGTCTGGGTTGTCGTCGAGGATCTTCTGAGTGAGGGCCGTGAGCATGTAGCCAGGGGAGATGCAGTTGACGCGGATACCGCAGTGGGCCCACTCGACGGCCAGGGAGGCAGCGAGGTGGCGAACACCGGCCTTGGCGGCGTTGTAGGGGCTGTGGGTGCTGTTAGCTTTCTCTCTCTCTCTCTCTTTCTGTCTCTCGCTGCTTGGTCTGACGGGTGCAGGGATAGGGGTGGCGAAGAGACTAGGAAAAGGAAAAGGACGAAAGGTACTCACGCCTGGGGCTGGGGAATGTTGACAATGGAACCGGACATGGAGCCGATGAAGACCATGCTGCCCTGGGCCTTGCGTTCCATGAGGTGCTTGGCGACGGCAATGGCGAAGAGGTAGGTGCCGTCGACGTTGACGCCCCAGAGCTTGCGCATGCGGTCAATGGGGTAGCTGACGGCGTCAAAGTTCTCGGTGAAGCCGGCCGAGGTGACGAGGTTGTCGATGCGGCCGTGCTTGGCAATGACGTCGGCGATGCAGGCGTCGACGGACTCGGTGTCGGAGACGTCGGCGTAGTGGGCCGTGACCTTGGGGGTGTGCTCGGCCTCGGGGTTCTCCTTCTTGAAGGCGTCGATGAGGTTGCGGGCCTGGGTTTCGGCCTCCTCGAGATTGAGGTCGACAATGGCGAGGTCGCCGCCGGAGTAGTGGACGCCCTGGCCCATGACGAGGCCGAGGCCGCGGGCGCCGCCCGTGATGACGGTCACGCGGTCCTCGAGGGAGAAGGAGGCGAGGGTTGGCTTTGCGAAGCCGCCGCCGTGGCCGCGGACGACCTTGGAGCTGGGGAGCTCGTGGTCCTCTGGGTACTCGACGGTGACCTCAGGGTCGGTTCGCGAGTAGGAGCCGGGCTTGTCGGCCAGGGGCGCTCCGACGCGGAGGCTGCGGCGCTGCTGTGACTGGTTTCGGGACTGCTGGGCCTGACGGGCAAGCAGAGGGGCTGTGGCGGAGGAGGAAGAGGAGGAGAAGGCGGCCGTTTGGGTGCGGGTGCGAAGGGCGCGTGCCCGCAAGGCGGTTGCCCACGGGGCGGAACATGATGTATGGTTTGTGTGAGAGACGGTTGGGTGGGGGGTATCGAGGAGGAGGAGAAGAAGCAATTGCTATGTTGAGGCCCCCTTTTTGGATCGTCTGGTATCGTGGAGTTCTCGAGTGTGTATGTGTGTGTGGTAGGTGTTCGAGGAGAGAGGGGAGGAGAGAGGAGAGGAGAAAAAAGAAGGAGGAGGTAGGAGGAAGGTTGCAAACACTTCCGAAGGCCGGAGGCGAGTCGTAGTTAAGTGCTCCAAAGACGACTGAGCTAAGCAGAAAGATCCCAGGGGGCAATACCGGTCGGGGGTCCCTGACTAGGATGGCGAAGCAGACGAGATGACCACGAAAAAAAATCCCCAATGGATTGAACAAAAAAATGGTTCTTGGGCGGCGGTTGTGTAGAGGGAGGCGTGGAAGCAGGTAGCTTGGCGGGGTAGCTGTAGAGCTGTGTGCGGTGCTGATGGGGCAGAATGGGGGAGCTGGAAGCTCTGATCGCGGTTTCGAGGAATGGAGCAGATGACGTGTGGGGGTTCCAATTGGAGGCAGACAGGGAAGCTGGAACGGAATTGGATGTGTGAATGGATCAAATGGGGGTTTGGTTAAGGGACGGGGCGTGGGGTGTGATCGTCGAGGGTCTGGAGATCGACACGAGTTCAGGGTGTTTTGGTGTCTGGGAGGCGAAGTCGGAAACGGGTACCTTTTCGTAGCGAAGGGGCTGCCCTAGGAGGAGACTGGTAGGAGGACATTTGGTAGGAGGAGGATGAAGAGGAGGAGGATGAAGAGGGGAAAGATATATAGAGGCACGACAACTCACGAAACACAAGAATCACGAGAAGGCTCTCTGCCATGCCGCCGCTCATCCTCGTCTCGATGGACGTGGCATGGCTCGCATCGAGACGGTGTGACTGCTTGCGGGAGAGGGCAGGGATTGCGAGCACCCACGATACTTCTTCTCTCCTCTCTTTCTCTCTCCCTCCCTCCTCCTCTGTCTCCCTCTTCCTTTCCACCTCTCCCCCCTTTCTCTCTATGCTCCCCCCTCTCGTGAGATCAGGCTGTGATTGTCAGTGCTGGAGCTCCCCCTGTTCTGGCCAGGAGCTCCCCCCCTGTCACCAAGGTCCTTAGCCTGCCCTGCCTGCCCGGTCGCCGAGATGGTGTGCGCTTGTCTGTGGATGAGAAGAGAGGGAGTGTGTGTGTCACTGCGGGCGTGCTGCAAGCCAAGAGCCTTGTCGCCTCCGGGGCAGCATTGGCGGGGCGTCGCTTGCGTCTGGGCCTCGTGAAGCGACCCGACGAGACCGGGTTGGCGGTCGCATCGTGGGTGGCAGGGTGTGCGTCGAGGTTGCTTCGCAGGCGGGCTCGGGAGTCGGTTTGGACGGCTTGACGGCCTAGAGGAATCCACGCTGGCAAAGAGGGTGTTCTAGACGCCCGTCTGGGTGGACTCTGGGGCACCGATGGATGGCAGATGGAAGGGTGTGTCTTCAAGGGTCCTGCAGGCTTTGTTTCCATTGGGAAGTGTGTGGGGGCTTCGCGCCGACACTGAGGACGAGGTAGGCCTACATCTACATGTACCTAAGGTAGGTATCTAGGTAGGTACATGGTACTACCACCACGAATCAACATCCAAGAGTGACTGACTCTGTCGCACCCAAGTACCTGGCAAACCAGCTACCACGCCACGCGTGTCGACATCAAAACCCCCTCCCACCGCATCGCCACTGAACGAGCAAGCATTCAACCAAATTTCTTTCCTCATGTTGATTTATTTTTATCAATCCACCCGGACATTTCTCCCGCAACGGGGGAGCCCTGATGGATGATGACTCGGATCGATGCCGCGCCTACGGAAGCAAACCCCCAAGAGACCAGCGGTGTGCTCGCCAACCAGCCGATCGTCGCCTCTCGTCAGTCGCTGTCGCCATGTTCCGTCCGCACCCATTGCCCTTCTCCCACGCTGCCCATCTCGTCTCGCCATGCTCAGTCACATAACCCCCGGCCCTTTGCCATCCTTCGAGATCCCAGCCGAATGGTCATCTGAGGTGCTCGGAAGCCTTGGTCAAGATCCAACAAGGGGATATCCTGCCCCCTTTTACCCACATGATGCTCGCGCCCTTGACATGCTGGTCCCGACGACCCTGCGAACTGAACCATGTCCCGGGTTCCTCTCCGCCCAGACGTCCTCTCCCTCCCCCTCTCTCTCTCTTGCACCTGGCACGATGCCCGGCATCCGGCTCCCGCCCGGATGCCGCGAACCACGAGAACAGCTTCATTTGCGGGGCGGGGGGGTTCCAGTATAGAGCGCCCCACGACCCCAAGCCCACCGTGTCTTAGCTGAGCAAGGCGTTGCAAATCTCGGCATCGTGAAAAAGCAGCCGAGTGCGCGGCGTGTGGGTGACCTGGCAGGTTGAGCAAGGGGTTGACGAAGAAAAGCCACACTACGTAGAGGTAAGCTCACTCTGAATCGTTATGCTATACTCTAGACCGGCTCAAAATCATTAAAAGTAGATATGCCTTCCAATGTGTCGTCGATTATCTCGTAGGTAGAATTTTCGAAGCTAGGTGTCTGTCTGGATGATACCTGTAGTTGGCGGGGTTGGAGTGCGGCTCAATCTGTCACCCCTCGATGAATTGGAAACAAAACATGCCTCTATAAGCAGCACATCAGCCAGGATTCGTGCGGGAGTGTACTTCTGTTAAGGTAAGGTACAACATGTAGGGGATCGAGGTACCTGAGCATGACGTCTGCCATATCTTTTGCAACCCGATTGCCTGGCATCTTGTCAGTTCCCCGAAAGGACCTGACTTGGGCATCAATCAGTAGATCCATAGTTTGTGCTGCGATTTCCACCATCCTTTGCCAGCTTGGTGATTTGCCCTGGTCCATGTTCCTGGTTACCACCCCTCCATTCGCAGCGTTACAGCGGATAACGACTGCCCGGATTTCTTATGGACGTTGCACTTGGACCAGGGAAAGCGAGTGGACACACATGTTTGCAAGATTCAAAGGGGGTGATAGAATCCATCATGCTATTCGTGCCGCAGCGCAATGCTATCAATCCAACCTCGTCTCAATGCTGAGCACACTGATCGGCGCTAAAACCAGAGAACATGAGTCCGCTGCCATGCCTCACAATCCTACGCATGTAGCCCCTGTGTCTGCTGGAATTGCCGCCGGATGCAATTGGGTGGGCTCAAGGACGCTCGATGGACCGTACTCCATCGTCTCGGATCGAAAAGCAGTGAACATGAATCAACACCAAAGATTCTCGCCGAGAAGGAGAATACACGGGTTGAAAAGGAAGACACAAATCAGCTTTTGCAAACTCGCTGTCATCATCGCCTCAATCTCGCTACCCCGCAAAACATCAACGCCCACCAAGGCCGCCAACATGACCCTAGCTGATCTTGAGAGCGTCGAGTTTGGCCTGGACGCTCCTGAGCACGTCGGGGTCTGGTTCTGGTTCGACCTTGCGGGGTTTGAGTCGCGGGCAGTCGGCGCATTTGGGGTGTTGACACTTGAGACAGGCAGTGCCGTCCGCGACGCCGCCGGGGAACATCTTTCTGCACTCGTGGCACTCGTGGTGCGGGATGGCGTTGGGGCCAAACACGTCGCCAGGATAGCCAAAGGGGTACTTGTCCTTCTTGGGGCTGCGAGAGTATTAGCACATATGCAGATGAAAAGGCTATCAAATGGAAACACTAACGGGTCTCGAGGGCAGTCGGTGCAACGGATGTGGCCACATTTGGCGCACTCCTTGCTGCCGCCAATGAATAGACCTTGGCATTCGTGACAGGTTCTTCGGATTCTCTGGCGCGGCTTCTTGTGAACGAGATCCTGACCGCCGCATTTGCTGGGCTTCTTGAGAACAATCTCCTTCCCGTCAGGGTAGTATCCGTAGTCGGGGACGATGGGAGGGTTCTCCTTGTTGGCCTTCAGGATGGCGGCGCGCCTCTCGCGGCTCGCAATCTTCTCGGCCTCGGTACGCTTGGGAGGGTAGCGCTTCGACTTGGTGGAACCACAGCTGGGGCACTCCTTGGCAGAGCTGAAGGCAGCGTTGCAGGAGACACAGTTGCGATGGACGCGCATGCGGATGGGCTTCTCAACGCGAAGTGCAGTACCCTCGGTGCTGAACCAATCGCTCTGCTTGATCTCCAGGCCGTACTTCTCGCCAAGCTTTCGTGCACGCTCCTCAAAAAGCTCCTTCCTCTGGACCTTGCGGACGCCCTCTTGGTCCGCAAGCTTAGAATCGGTCCTCTCAGCCGGCTTGGTGGCTTCCGTCACAGGGTTCTCCAGCCTGGAGGTAGCCTGCTCGGCGGCGGCCTGTTGGGCGGCAGTAGCCTTGGGAGGCTGAACAGCACTGTGACGTGTTAGAATCCCGTTCAGGAATGTGGACTTTGTGTGCTAAGAAGTACTGACGTGCGAACATTGGCTGTCGCGCTCGCGGCGGCAGCGCCAGACTTGGACTTGCTTGATTCGCCCTTCTTCAAAATCGTCTTGGCTCTCGAAAGAAATTTCCCAAAGCCCTTCTTCTCTTTCTCCTGGGGCACCGAAGGCCCCGCCTGTGCCTGGGAGCTCATGGTGGCGATATTGATGAGCAACGAAGTGCACTTGTCCGTGACCGTGCTGTGTGGTTGATGTTTGGGTGATTATGCCAGGATGTTAACAAGAATGCGCGTGAGTGCTCGTCCTCATCCGAGTTCAAAAAGAAAAACACTCGTTCGGAAGTCGCCAATAAGTTTGCAGTGCAAAGACTAGGGTGATGTTGGTCGTGAGGTCCGAGTCGTGGAGTGTCGGGCCTTTTGCCGGGTGATGTCTCTCGCTCTCTTCCTCTTACAGTCTGACGAACAGCTCGTACAAGAGGGCGACTCGGAAGGGAATCCGGGTTCTCCCAATCACTGGAAGGTCGAGGTGTTGGCGAATACAATCGAGTCCGTCAGTCTGGTATCTGACGATCAGATGTGTATGTCGAGCTGACGCCGCAGACCAAGGTGCTGAAGGCGGCTCTCAGAGGTGGTTCAAGAAGAGGAGAGCGACTGGAGAGACAGTCGGGATCCGGGACGGGGAGGGCAGGGTGGATGAAGGCCAGACGGACGGTGCAGGTGCTGGTCTGTTCAGACGGCGGCGCACTGTGGCGGGACCCAGCTCCAATGGGGGAGGGGCGGCCGGGTAGTTGCGTCGTACTTACACTTCCTTCAATGGTGAGGAACGCTACGACTGCCTAGTACCGCTCTACCTGTGCCTGCCCTGCTCAGGCACCCTGACCTGCCTGCCAGTCCGTTGCTACTGCTGATGCTACTTGTGTGCCTCCTGCCTCTTTACGTCGTGGCACCTGCTGGTCCGACTGCATCAGCCCACAGGCCTGTCGCGATACGCCGCCATTGTCAGCGCCAGCACCAGCGCCAGTGTGCCAGCACTCCAACGCCCACCAGCGTCACGCACGTACATGTACCAAAGCAGCGGCAGCTCAAACAGGGAATTCCCTCGCTCTTGCAGCCGGGGAAAGACCCAAGGTGTCCTGCTGGCCAGTCAGGGGCCAGTCCGCTGCAATGGGAATGGGAGAAACAGCGACCCCACAAATTTCTGTCTTCCCTTGGGTGACCCTGCCCACGCCGTCGACAAGAGCTACTCCACTTGGTGCTGTCGGTGGAGCTCACATGCAAATGACACAGCCAACAACAGAGACGCTGACGGGTAGGGGAGCCAGGTTGAAGGGGGGCCAGGGGGGGAGCAGAGGGGGCTGCTCCCGAGGACATGGGATCACAGGGAGGCACACACACCAGTTTCCGGCCTTGGGACTCGGTTCTGGGCCACCCTTGCCACCTCCCCTAAGGTAGCCTACGATGCCCTGTCTTTCACTCTCCACTCTCGGGTTCTTGTCTTGGTCGGCTCCGCTAGCCTTCCATTTGCTGTGTTCCCTGTGTCGTCGCACCGCGGCCATCCCACCGCACTGTGTTCAAGTGCACAGTGTGCGAGTATTTTAGGCTTGTGTACATTGGCCGAGCCGCCTGACCCCCAAGCTCTCTCCGCCCCCTGGCCTACCTACCCTCCTGAAAAAAGGTGACAACGGAGCAGAGTCTGGGCGGAAACTGGTACTGGGACCGGCCCCGCATCATGCACGATGAGGTGAAGGTTCTTGGCTGCTGCTGGGCTTCGAGCGTCTGGCTTGTGCTTTTGTGCCCATCGGCACGACTGAACTCGAACGTGGATGATCATTGCGACAGGCCAGGATCGCGGCAGGCCAGGATCCTCTGAGCCCTACGGGCGAGTCAAGAGTCATTCATTCCCCTTCTCATCTCTGCTAGCTTTGGTCACGAATTGCGAACTGTTCATCATCCGTCGTGAGACGCGCTGCCTACTGGCCAAGATACGTCCATGCCCACGTCCGCTCCATCATGCGATCCAAGACAAGTGACTAACGGCGTTTAGCGGCCCAAGGCCCACTGTAAAGAGGCCTAGGGCGCCCGCTGCGTCCCCGCCGGGCAGGCGGGCGACTGGTGGTCCAGCGGCCCGCACGCAGAGGGGGGCGGGCGCCCGACCTGGGAAGCATTAAGATGACGGTTCCAGGCGCAGCACCTGCGAAGTAGACGGTGCCTTCTAGCGCTGTCGGTTTCCCTGGCACTGGGACCTAGAGAGCCCACTCGAGGCGCGTGGGAAGCCCGTCCATGTGCTTCTCTGAGTGCTTTCGAGAAAGAAAGAATGGAAAACCACGGCGTGTCTCACATTCCACGCAAAGTCTTGTCCGTAGGCTCATCCCTTTGAACCCGAATTTGATCTCAGGTATAAAAAATACGTACTAAGGGGTTCGAGCTGACGTACTTAGCATTTTTCAGTATTTCGATCATTGTTTTTCGGCTTGCTACCCACTCTCCAACAGCCAGATCAGAAAATGGAAAACATATCATGGTGAACAGGCCGTTGTGAAAGGATAACTGGCGAGCGCCCCAAGCGCCCGATGCACACCAGCACGGAGCTTCCTGAGCACCTTGACCCTGGGTAGATGGCCAGGATGCCTAGGTATGGATCTTGGTCCCCCCCTCCCTTCTCACCCCTGCTGGTGAACAGACTGGACGGAGACAATTCCCATTGAAACTCCACCTCGAACCATCCAAACGGGAGCCCACGTCCGAGGTTGCAAGACAGTACACAGTGTTCCGTACAGTAAATCCGGACGAGCTCCAGCGAATTTCTGCAGGACAGGTGGGCTGGCGCTGGCTTGAGTACCGTGTCTGCCAAAGGGGCAGGCAAGAGAGTGTGTTTGGAGCAGGGCAGGGGACCAGAAAGCCAAGCACGTCGCCATGTCCAAACAGTAGGTAGCCAGCCTTTGGCGAGACCCGCGAACCTTTCCGCGAGTGCGGCCTAATTGCGCGCCACAAACCCAGCCCTGCCGCATTCAAATCTGACCATTTTCAGTTCCAGTATCTGATCTATTCGTAGACCTTCCATATCTTGGCCGCGCCACGATTTCGCCGGCCCATTAGAGTTGTGAAGAGCATTGTGGCATTGTTCTCGTTCTCGTATCAATTCTAGTTCTGGCTTTGCCTCAACCTGGCTTTGACCCAACCTGAAGTCTCTCTGCAACTGTGGCACACCACGAGCGAGGGCCGCAAGAATCGTGGCGCCACGATGCATGCCAAACAGAAACTCAACAAAATGTCGCGCTGAGCACTGTACGAGTAATGTACTGCACAGAGAGGTAGGGGGGGGGGGGCAAGAAAGCACCCCATCATGACGCACGAAACTTGACCCTCAACCAGTCTGCCGGAACCGGACAGCAGAGAGCGGCACAGCAAAAGCAAAGCAGAACAACCACACACCAATCTTTGACTGCGTGGCCACAACGCATGGGGCACGCGCGCCAGTCTCACAGCGACACAGTCCGGCCTGGCCTAGAACTGTCGCCGAAGCTACCCTCCAGCTTTCGATGGCCACGGCTCGGCGGGCAAGACATGCCGTTAATCAATTTCCGTCCCAGCAGTGTGGGAGCTGGAAAACAAGGTATTCACCATTCAGCCGGGAAAGCACCAGAGCAGTAATAAGCCAACGCAACTCAATCAGCCGGAGTTCGCGCGCTACCTCGAACACGAACTGCGACCGCCTGGTCTGGCCCTGGCCCTGGCTTGTGAGCACGCGCGCGCGTGGGAGGCGTGGGAGGTAGAAACTTGACACAGTGCTGGGCTACTACTGCCCATCCAGTCGCTTCTGCATTAGCTTTCAAAGCTTTTCGTGCCTTTGGTCCGTCTTTCCCCCGGCACCTGACGGGGGGGAGGGGGCAGGTGGCATGTCCTTACCACATGCTTGGGAGCCCCCCTCCCTTTCTGTGCTTCTCTCGTACCTCCCCTCCATCCGCCATCGTCTACACACATAGTAGTACATAGTGCATGGACCTTAGGTATGCACATCTTCACCCACACAGAGTTACCAGTTTCTGGTGCTTGTCAGGCCACCATTGACAGCTCGAAGCATTCATTTGAGATGATAGACATTGGGCTGGCTGACGCTGGTGGCGGTGTCGTTCTGACTCGTCGCTGCAGCACCCTCAACCGCCCACCGATCGATCGACACCCGAATGACACTGTCCCCCGCCAGTCTGTCCCCGTCTGTAGACTGGAGTTATGCGAGGCCCAACTCAGCCTCCCGCTATCAAGCGCCTCGACGGCGACATGTCATGGACGTCGACTGGTCGCAATGGCAGCGACTAATGTCAGCCACCCGTTGACTGACCGCCAGATCACTGCCTATGGTGACGGATAACAGTGGGCATGGTCAGAGATATGGCTATTGCGTACACATTGCACGTCGTGCATCTTGTGCCTCTTCGCGGGGACTTCAAAGACTCCGTGGCGTCCGCATGACGGCAAAAACCCCAACCATGGTTTCTGCAAGCATTCCTTTCACCCACTGACGGCGATACAAGTACATGTACAACCTGCCTAAAAGCCGCGGTCCCCGCACCTGCACTACAACCAGTGCGGCCAGCAGGTGTAGCAACCCCCTCAGCGGCGTCTGGCCCGGCTCCGACGAACCCGCAACATTCTTCATCTCCCAGACTCGCGGTGCCGCGGAGTGGGACGCAACGAGAGTGCGGAAAGAGAGGTAGCATTTTGCCATGCCGACGTTGCTGCCGTGTCGTCACACTCGCCTGTTAGCCTTCAGTCTTATTCTTGTCGGTACCCAACGAAGATCTGCCCGGGAATATCAGCGTGATCGGCAAGTCAACCACACCCCGAACGCAATCTCCGTATACCCGTGCACGCACACGAGTCGTTGTTGACCCTGCTGCTGGACCCTACCTGACTTGTCCCTGACCTGTCCGATGGCCTTGAAGAATGGCCTTGAAGAATGGCCTGGACAGGGACCGCGCATTTTGGAAACCACCGAAAGGCCGAACTTGCAACTGAGTTAAGCCGTAACCTTTTCGTAGCGTCGTCAACCGCCAGGGGGTATCTGTGCCAAGACTGGATGACCTTCCAGACGGCCCTAGACGAGACAAAGCCAGTGCACCAACACCTCGTCAGACCTCTGCCCCCTGCTGTCAACTTCCGAGCCGCGGTTTGTCATCAGCACAAGCCATATTGTATGTATCCCCTGGACAGGTCGCGAGTGTGATCAGCTTTTTGAGAAGCATTCCGATGTCATACCTCCGGCCTGTCATGCGAGAGATTCCACATCAGGACGACAACTGCCATGTCGAATGCGCCAAGCTGCTGATCACACAGACAGACACCGTGGTAGACTGGACCACGACAGACTTTCTCACCCTAGACTGACGTGCGAAGCCCCTTTGAGGGCCATCCACGCAATGATGCCGGAGTTTGACGACGTCGGCTCGCCTTTTGGGGTTTCTTTTTCCACGGAAGCCAAGAATGCGGCACTTGCTAGCTCAATATTCTTATGAACGGGGAACCATTCGATTCCCTCACCGTTGACCATGCCCCTTGTCTGGAAACCGCAACCTTTGTTGGATGAGGTATGGTCCCCAATAGTTAATCCCGAGTTTTCGAGAAACTCTGCGCCACCCCAGGCTCAATCCTGCTCGATGTACCGGGAGAGGGGAAGGTTTCCAGTATCGAAACTCTGTTCATCGTCCCTGGCCCTGGGGCTGTCTTGCTCCGCGCAACGACCCCTGCCATCGCGGGCCGAGACGAGCGCCCCAGCCAACAGTCCCACAGGGGAAAGGAACGGACTTGAGAGGGGCTGCCAGACAAACGCCTTTGTTTGTCTTCCTCGTCAAAACCCGTGCGTGCATCTGAGATCCTTTCCCCTCATGACTTTGCCACACGTGGGGTTGGACGTCATATTCTTCATGACACTTTCTAAGCCTGCTCCTCAACTGATATGTTTGTACAGTACGTGCTGCCGAACATTACCATGTACCTCTGCCAGTACTCCGGGTTCGTTGGCGTGTCTGCCTTGGCGATAAATGCCGCCCAAAAGGTGAGGAACGGATTGCCGCTCTCGGTAATGGGGCCGAAGTGCCCTGTATGCGAAGCCCAAACACGGGAAGCTCACCCCAGATCCCCTGAGGCTTTGTCATGATGCCTCATCGGATGGTCTGATCCCTCCTTGTCGCGCTCGCCCGATTTCGAAGTCACTGGTGCGGGCCTCAAGACGCATTCTGAGATCAACATCACCCCCCTTGTCCGCTGCCATCTTCTACGGTTGGCTTTCTGACTGCTGGTAGCGCCAGCTGTTGTCGACATGTCACAAGATGGAGGGACCGACAGACGTCAACCCCACAACCCACAACCCACAACCCACAACCTTGTGCATACCGAGGCATGATTGAGGAGCCTGGTGCACTGTACTTCGTACACTGTCTGACGGGGCCTGTAACATACTTGCAGACATCAGGCCATGTTGATATAACATTTTGGAGTGGTGGTCGGATTTCAGGAATTCACAACCCTGGCGAATATTTTGTCCGACAACTCGTGCAAATGATGGGGTTCAGCCGGCATTCACCCCTTCAATACAGGGATTGGTCTGTCTTGGAATTTTCAATGTTGCCAGAGCTGATCTAGTATGCCAGAAAGCCAAGTAGGCAAGCCGGTTGACTGTCGAATATGAAAGTAAGAGCCGTTGTGGAAGCGCCGCACAGACGTTATGAATTCGCGATATATATGGCGCTCTTACGCCACGCTGACAGAAAAAGTGGCGCAGCCGACTGTGAAGGGGTTCGCCCATCTGGGAGTGCCGGGCCGAGAGATGTTCCAGTCAAAGTCGTGCAGGGGGGCCGTGGTGACGCCGTAATCTCCCGCTAAACTCTCCAGGTGTGATGCGTCACGATCCCCAGACGCGAAACTTTGCCTGGTAACCTGCACCCCTAAACATCATCAATCAACTTGACATTGCCGGCTCATCAAGCAGCTTCCTACTCCTTCACGCCGTTCCCAATATCATCATCTGCGTCATTACTTTACAGACTGTGCAAAGGTCCCCCTGCACAGTCCTCCGTCACTGTCCATCGCCACCACCCTCTCAACTTTATGCAGACCTGGCCTACTGAGTCATCAGATATCTCTCGACCAAACGACGCCCAAGAACACCTCACCCCCAATCAAGATGGCTCCCAACACCAACAGCGGCCCCTCAGGCCTGCGCATCTGCCGCAGCACTCTGTCGGCTCCAGCAGTGCCTCTCCGCACTCCATCGCGGATGGCCTTGACGGCGTCAACGCCGGCCAGCTTGATGAGCGACTTCGTCTGCTGAGCATCCGCAATGGGCACCCAGATGGCCGTCACTACGTAGCGGGACAACGAATCACCGATTACGAGAATGCATTGGCGCCTTCCACGCCTAGACAGGCGCTTGGCTTCAAGGTCATCAAGCGTGTTGATTCGCTATCTGATGGTGTCCAGCTCACTGATTTTCCCAACGGTAAGTCCTGAGAATACAACAAACCGCGGTTGGAGGACGGGAGGCTGATGAATTGTGTGCAGAAATTTTGACTCATGTCTTATCCCACCTGCATCCCGATTCCCACGCGGCTGTCGCGCTCGTTTCGAAGCGGTTTTACTCGCTGGTCACGACACCCCACGCCTGGCGGATGGCCTTTTTGCGCTACTTCCCTGGGCATGAGAGCTTGGCAGACAAGCCTGAGAAAGAGGCCACTGGGCCGTGGGAACAGGCGACGACAGAATTCGTCCGATCAGAGGCTCGTTATTTCGCCCGCCTGACGTCGCTGGCCACTTGGAGGAGCGAATACCTGCTGCGCACCCGGCTACTCAGGGGTCTCGTCAGGGGCAAACCTGGAGCATCCGGCGGCATCGGCACCTCGGCGCGCTCGACCAAGAAGATCAGCGCTGTCTTGACGTACAACTCAAAGCTACCGTGGGCTGTGACAAGCCTACATGCCATCTTCTCAAACGGCAAGAAGCCGCCGCGTGCCGTCCATGGCGCTGCGGACCTAGGCTTTGCTACAATGAGCGATCCAACTTCTGGCAAAGTTGAGAAGTGGGGTTTTGATGAGCCGTTCAGCTCTCAGCAGCTCGACGAGGTCTTCCCAGACCTGGAACCCTATGGCGTTGGTGAGGGGCCTGCCGCTGGACCAAATGTCATGGACGTCAGTGTGCCTTACGGCCTCCTGGCAGGCGAAGGTCACCCTGGCGGTCGTGCGTATTACCGTCCCATTCACGAGAAGCGCGGTCGTTACCTTACTCACGAGTCGGGCGTGGTCGACACCTACCCTGACATCCCCCGCATCCCAGAGCTCTCCGAGGCCATCTCGAGTCTCTGGATCGCCAAATCATCCGCCGTCCCGTACATGACACTCTCCATGGTCGGCATCTTGACAGGCTCGACTCTTGGAGTCGTCACTGCGTACGCCCTGGGTGGGGACAACACTGGTCATCGATTCTCCAACGGCGACATGACTGCCCGCTGGGTTCTAAGCCCCGGCGTGCCAATCATCTCGATCAAGGTTGATGACCAATACAACCAGAGGAGGAAGAACACCAGGCGCGTGTGGGCTGTTGCTCTGAATGCCCTCGGCGAGGTCTTCTTCCTCACGGAGCCTCCCACGTCGAGCCTCGATCGAGCCAAGGGCGAGGATGTGACCAAGAATGCCTGGCTCGCAGGGCGATCTGTGTACTGGCAGCTCGTTGAGCAGACGCGTCGCCGCGCCCGCCCTGATGACTCGGATAAAAACGCTATTCGGGGCGCTTACACTCCTCGATCGCCTGCAGACTCCATGGAGCTGAGCAAAGAGCAACTCGCTGCCGAAGCACGCGAGATTGAGAAATTCCTTCGACACAAGCCGTCGCACTTTCGCAAAGTTTGCGAAGGATGGGACATGAAACGGGTGCTCGAAGTCGATTTTGCCCACGATGATGGGAACGGTGGCGGAGAAGCCATCATCGTGATCGAATGTGGGTGGGAGAAGGGACAAGGTCCCAAGGTTTCGAGATACATGAGATCTCTGCTACCCAAGACGCCTCAGCAAACTCGCATCTCTGAGCTGAAAGACGCTGGGATGGAGACTCAACCTGAACAAGTGCCGGCATCCATCTTTGGAGCAAAGGGGGCCACTGCGAACAGAGCAGAGCGTGAACCAGTCGTTCCAGCGTCCGTTGCCGCCCCTCTGCAGACCCCCACTGGCACCGTCACTCCGGCACCTAATCTTCTGAGCGACTGGAGCGTCACCGTCTTCGGCCTTGCTGGCTACCACAAGAGCGAAATAACGGCATCCGCCATTGACGTTTCTTTGCATGCCGCTGTTACATCGGCTGAAGACCCTCTGAGGGAAACGGTCAAGGGCACATCCCACGCAGGCACTCCAATCAGCGTCACGCCGCGTACAGCTGAGACGCTGGCTGAGATCCCTGGGCGCAGCGCTCGCATGCTCGCCATTGGCACCAAGAGCGGCGTCGTCCTGCTCTGGAACATGCGCGAGACTGGACCACTTGTCAAGGATATGAAGCCGGTCCGAATCATCCAGACTGAATCTCCCGAGATCTCTTGCTTGGCCCTAAATGGCTTGTACCTCGTCCATGGTGGCAGCGATGGCCTGGTCCAGGCCTGGGATCCGCTCGCGTCATCACTAGACCCTCTACGCACTCTGAACGCCAGGCCATCTGGGCGTGTGCCTAGGCACATGCTGACGATGAATCCCGCTCTGGCTAACGAGAACTACACGGCCGCCCGGACTATCTTCCTCGACCCTGACCCAACGGTTCTTCGTGGCGTCACAGCATTTGGCGCTTTCTTGCGATACTGGTCATACAGCGCAACAAGCCAACCACCGGGTCGCAAGCGTCGGCTTCGACACGCTGACATTCACGGCCGCCTCGCCACGCGCCGTCAGGGCGGCAAGGTATCGGGTTACATTGCAGCTGAGACGGCTGAGCTTCGTCTCGAGCAAGAGCATCGCAGTCGTGAGCAGGCAAGGCTTCGCAATCGTTTCGGAGTGGGTGCGCTGGGTGACCTGACGGAGGAAGAAGCCGTTCGATACGCGCAAATGATCTCTGAGGAGTCCTTCCACACTGATGAACAGCGCCGTACCAGTGCTAGCGACACGGGCGACGCCAGCTTTGACACCGCCTCGTCATTCAGCGAGAGCACGGCGTCCACGGTCACCCCAGACCCCAGCGTTAACGGCCTGCCTGCCAACGGATTCAGTCCTCCCCCAACCGTGGACGAAGAAAGCGAGTATGAGATGCAGGTTCAGCAGGCTCTTCGCCTGTCGCTCCTTGAGGGCGTCAACGATCATGGTCACTCGCCACGGGGGAAGAACTCGAACGACTACGAGGTGCCCATCACCATCAAATCCAAGTCGGCCAAGAAGGGCAAGCGATCTGCTTCCCGGTCACCCCCCGCAAGCTACACAGCGCATTCTGGCGCCAACGGCGGGTCGTCCAGCCAGGCCCCGATGACCCAAGAAGAAGAAGACCTCGCACTTGCCCTGAAGCTGAGCATGGAGGATCAGGGCACACACGGCGGCCCTGTAGATGCGAACGCTATCTATGAGCAGCAGGAGGATTTCCCTTCGCTGGAGGTTAAGGGGAAGGGCAAGGGGAAAATGTGAGGTGCCCTGTTGTGTTGCTATGCGTTGCGTTTGTGTGCCGGTTCTAGTCTCTGTTTCTTCCGGCTGAAGCCAGCTGTTAATTGGTTTTTCCCTTCCCCCGACACCACGTTGGATACATAGTTAGCCTTGGAGCACTTCAGACTTTACTTTGGCTCGCACCACCGGTTGCCCAAATTTCGTGATGTGTTCCTGAACAAGTACTGGTGCACAATCTATTTTGTCGTCACACGATACTACATTGGCTCATGTGGTTTCGAACTCTCGACGGACGAGCAATTCAACACGAGAGAAGGTAAAGGTCGCACTGATCGAGACTACTTTGGATATCCATCATAAAAAAAAATGGGAGACTGATGTCATGTTTTACTGCTGGGTTGATAGTCATTGGATTTCGTGTTTTAAGGTTGCGTCTCCCAGTCAATCAAGACGTCTGGTCCGATTGCTCACAACCTAAAGGCTTATACTGCGGACCCTCGCTCTCTCCGCGCCTTCCGGCAATGTGACTGCGATATCACATGCACAGTGCTGGTAAGACACAGGCAGTTAGCAAAGACAGGATGTACGTGGCCATCTGCCCACGCCAGTGCAAAGACGAGATGAACCAATCTTGATCGCGCGAGTTATCGACGAAAGGTCACGGTTGTACGAATCTCACCACTGCATGGTCTCTGCCACCCGCTCGGATCCATGACAGATTTCGAACACTCAATGATGGTGCCGGTAGCAATGATGCCCATCACAGACATTATCCCGCCCTAACGCGAACATCCCGCCAGCCGTGTCTCACTCATTCTCAAACATCACCTCTCCCGTAGCACCACCACCACCACCACGAGCCATAGCCTCGTCATCGTGCTGTAACTAACGAAAGCCAGACGATCACAATCGCCAGCTCGTCACCAAATCTCGCCTTCACCATCAGCCGCGCCAAGAAGGCATAAATCCTGCATACCACCAGAGGCATCCCCGCCCCCCCCCCCCCCCCCCCTCCGCAGCGCCCGTGTTTCAGAATACGAGATGTAGCAACAACGCATAACACCGGCTCGGCAGCCAACGGGCCCTACCGCTACCGCACACCTCAAAACACGAACGGGAGGGTGATAGGCTGCGCTGGGGCCAGGAGATCGACGTCACGCCCTCGGGACGCCGCGAAGAGGTTAAAACATGGCGCCCGATGGTGCTCGGTGGCGCTCTTCACGCCGCTGTGCCTCCCCCCTCTCCTTTGAGCAGATGCCTAGATGTACATGTAGTTCGGTAACTGTGCCTTGCCTCGAATATGCGCACGGGTGTCCCCCCCCCCTTCCCCCCCCTTCCAGAAGCATGAATTGTGGCTTGAGACTCCCAGCGCAGGAGGCTGTTGCTGGTCTCACCGAGGGCGCTGCTCACCGCTATTCGAACTCGACGGTGTGCGCTGTCAACTGTGTTGAACCCCCCTTCTCCTATTGTTGACCCGCGCTTTAGCCTCCCGTCGATGGCGACGCCGACAGTGCGGTATAGGTAGAGGTAGAATACGAGCTACAGGTGGACCTCTGATTACGCTGGTAAACCCCCGTGTGCTAGCGCAGCACTTGTCAGCAGCCGTTCGTGATGGCGTTCCTGCTAAAAGTGGTTGTTCTCCATCATCGTGGTTGGTTAAACACCGTAAGCAGAGATGGCTGCGTAGGGTATTGCCAATAAATCTTCGTTGCCCAACCAAGTACACAGGCAAACAAATATAGGCTTAGGGTCAATGTCATGGGAAAGAGGCCGTCCGTGACGGCATGGCAAAGAGCAAGACTCCGGGACGCATAAAGGGGTTTTTCTATATGGACCATGCACAATCAAGATAACCGAAACAGGCTCACGATTACCGCATTGATTGAGGTAGATGATACATTATGTAAATTGCGCAGCTTGAGCCGCTTTCATGGTTCCCCATGTTGTCTTTGTTGCACCTCCTCATCTGCTGAGCGCATACAGCAGATGGCAGCCGTGCCCGTGTTGCTTCTCTTACATTATCGGCGCCGCCTTGCGCAACCAACACCCTCCCATTTTGAACACCTCAAGTCATTAGTCGTAATACAGCTGGCAAAGTCCAGCCGAAGCCCCTCTCATCTCGCCGGTGAGCTTTTCCAGGCCGTTGTGGCCGAGGGCTCCGATGCCCATAAACACCAAACCCCAAAAAAAACACCTTCACCATGTCTATACATGCCTGGACCTCAGAGCACGTACCCTATGACGTTCCAAACGCCAAACAGCATGCAAAAAATCAAGTTGTACAACGCTCCGCCGAGCGCCTCATGCGAACCTATTCCACCACCCTCGTCACCGTCGTCGCCATTGCCGGTCCCACCGTTTGAGACCCCGTTGTTCGTGCTTCTCTGCGTCTGCGAGGCTGATGGATCCGTAAGCGTCGCGGTTGGAGTAGCTTTGATCGATGTGACGACCGTCGGCCCAAATGGATAGGTGAAGCTTAGCGAATCGACCGTGACGCCCTCAGGAGCGATGGTGATCGTCTCGCCCCGAATCTCCGTCGTGTAGGTAGTGTGGGCATTGGGTCCGATGGTCCACGTCGAGTCTTCAATCACCACGATTGATGCGCCGACTTGTGTGATGGTCACACCGCCGACGATCTCGTAGGCCGTCTGCTTCGGGCCAGCACTGGGGCCGCCGATGGTGTGCCCATCGACCACGACGCCATTAGGCCCTATGGTGACAGTCCCGCCATCTACGTCTTCCGTTCGAACTGCTATCCCTGGCCCATAGGTGATGGTTGTCTCATGGATGACCACAACCGTCGAGCCTATGGCAGTGATCATCTGGCCGCCAACAACCACATGTTCCGTTTCAACAGCCTGCGCAGTCGCTGCATGGATGATCGTAGCCGCAGGAGGCAAGGGCACACCGTTTGGTCCGTGGCCTCCGGTGATCCCGGGTGGCCCACCACTTCGAACTGCTTCAGAACCGGCGTTCCCGCCTGGGCCGATCCAGAACCCACTGCCGTCTCCCCCGTTCCACGGCCTTTCGATAGTGCTGCCGCCCCCGATAACATGATCGGGGTTGATCTCGAAGGGTTCGCCGCTCACTGTCACTGTTGTTGTCTGAGTAGGCAGTAAAGAGAAGGTCTGGTTGCCTATGATCACTCTTGTTGGTTCCAAGGTGACTGGGAAAGTTATAGCAGCAGGCTGCTTGACAATGTGAGGGAGATCTTTCGGTCCGTCTGGATCAGCCGGGCGAGGTCTCTGAGGTCTTGTATCGTCGGCAGGGTGATGGTCTCCGGCAAGCGGATTCTTCGTGTCCTTTCCATAGTCGGGCGTGGTCATCGGGCTAAAGACAACGGCGGGATTCTTGTCTGTGGTGATGAAAGTGACAGTACCAGGCTCCTTGTTGCCTGGGACGGAAATGGCCTCAGGAGGTCGGATAACGTCTGTCGCACAAGCTACCCAGTCCAGAGAGGTGAAGCAAAAGGTTGTAAGCATTGGCTGTTCGTTTTTGTTTTCCCCCAAACCGGGACCTTCTTCCCCGAAACCGGGTTCCCCTGCCTCCTCCTCAGGGTAAGGTGGCGCCTGCGTTGGTGATACGCATGCAACAGGCGTTTCAATGGTAGGGAAGGGAGGCACATAGTCGGCGGGGTCGCCGAAGAACGTCGTCGTTGCGGTAAAGACGATGAGATATGTTGTCGGTTTGGAATCACTGGCAGGCGCGGAACAGTCATCTGCTGTCTCAGTGGAGGACTGCAGATCGCTGCTATACACCAGGTTCGTTGTCGTACTAGTCAGGTTGAGTGACGCAAATACCGGGGGCCGGAGACGGCGTCTGGGCGAGGCTGACTGTTCTGGGGATCCGGAGGGTTCTGGGGCGTGCGAGAGAGGACCAGCAGAAAAGGGCGCCGAGGTGATGGCAATCTTGAATGAGCCATCTGCTGAGTTATCAACGGTGGGCGATGGCGCAGATTGCTCGAGTCTCGTAGTTGTATTCGAGTACTTGGGTCGAAAGCTCGACAGCGGACGCGGGTGCGGCTGTCCAGGTGGCAGCGGTTTCGTAAGAGCATCATGTGAATGCTCAGGAGGCATCGCAAGAGTGCGAGTCTGGGCAGGGGATACCGGGTCCTCCGGAAGATCAGCATAGCCTTGAGGTTGCGTCGACGAACTATCGTGAGCGGAATTCGCCTCGGTGACGATGGAACTGTCAGCCTGTGACGAAGTGAGGTCCGACAATACATGTGAAGTAGCAACTTTGCTTGAGCCAGTGTCTGTCTGAGCTGGCGGAGGGTTTGAAGCGACTGACGTTGTCGTCGCATTCCAACCTTTGAAGCCACGCCGCACCAATGCCACTGGATCGGCTGAGAGTTTTCTTAGCGGGAGGTTGAGAGAGGTAAGTACATCAGGGAGGAATCTTACCAGCTCTCGTCGCAGAAGCAGGACCTGGCAATACAGCCAGCGGCAGGACCAGCACCACGGCAGCGAGCCTCATGCTGACCGGCTGCCGTCACTGTCGTCGGTTCGAAAGGGACAGAAAAAGGGCGTCAAAAGAAGGCCTGGAATCGAGGTGTCGACCAGTTCGGTAGAAGAAGGTCGTGTCAAAATGGTTCGGAGGTTCGAATGGCAGTCCGATTCACGCGCCGCCGCAGCCAAGGTGAAAAGATGAAATGAGTGTATGGCAGGCGAACGAAGCTGCCGCCGGCGACAATCGATACTTCAGGTAGCGATTGAGAGAAGCAGAATGCGCGCCGCGTGGACCGTTGCGTCAGGTCGCTTTCCTCCTCGGCGAGCTGTCCTCAAAGTGTCTGAAGCCAGTCAGTGAGGGCAGGGTGCACAGGCGACGAGGTGCCGACTTGAAAATCCGAGAGCGTGTGGGCATTCGACCAAGGTAAACTCGGAGGCCAGGGTGAAGGGGGGGGTGCACACTAGCAGCGGCGCCAGCGCAGCCGGGGCACATGGGTGTCCATCGTCGGCAGATCCGCAGCCCCCCCCCCCTCCCCCTAAAAGTCAGATGCTAACCAGCAGCAGTTCAGGCATGACCAGCACAGGGGGACGCCTGATCTGTACCTAGGTCCGGCGAATTGGTCCGGGTTGTTTATTACATGTACTGCGCACGTCGGGGCTTTGGCCCCCAACGACAGGTTGTAGGCGGGTTCAATTGAGATGACGGCCGTGGGGAGCTTGGCGACATGGACAACGGCCGGGCTAGAACCTAGCGCAGCCGCGTACCCATTTGCCGTGCTAATTTGCATGGCGCCCTGTAATACCGTACGACTATGATGAAGGTCGGGAACAGATCAGAGCAGGAGAAACAAGGGCGGCGTGACCTGCTCAGGGGCGGCGTAGAATATGCTCACCCGATGCCGCCGGCTGCCATGATCTATCTGTCTGAGGGAGGGTGGCGTAGCCGTCCTACCATGTATGCGTAACGTTGGCCAGCACATTGCAAATCGGGTTCGATCAGTTTTTACGCATGGCGATCCTGTCATGCTCGAGCGGCCGGGCATGATTTTCCTGTCTGACCTCCTTTTTTTTTTACCTCCTTTTCTTAACCACGGCAAAGAGGAGAAAAACAGGTCGCGGTCGAACAACGGTGGAATATACACCGGCGCCCCATGGATAACGCGGATGGCAGTTTCGCCTTGGCGGGAGGATGATATGCATGGGGGAGTTGATTGGGGTCAACGGCAGTCGATGCTCGGGTGGTCGATGGAAGGATTCGATCTCTCCGCGGGCGGCGCCATGGCGATGCCGTTGCGTTGCAGCAAAGTCAGAATGTTTTTTTTTGGTCTGCCCACTGGCGTCTGTCGAGCCTGGCTTTGCTTCGAAGGGGGGGGGGGGGGGGGGGACCTTGCCATGGGGTAATAAAGTGACGCGTCGGGGCGGATCGAGTCAGGCCTATCCGTGCAGTCGAGGCGGCGCTGGTACCACCCTCAATCAGGCTTGCCCCATCTGGGAGCAGACTGGAGATGAGGACAAGATGAGAGGTGCATCGGACGCGTACATGGTAGGTCTAGACGCGCGACCATGGAGCAGAAGGCGTTTCTAGAAGAGTTAGCCGATATTGAGGCGTTCTCTCGTGGCAGGCTTGAGACCTCTGCATGAGAAGCAAGTCTGTCTGCCTGTTTGTCTGCCTGTCTGTCTGTCTGTCTGCCTGTGAACCGACAGGGAGGAGATAGATGTTCATCCATCATGAGTATGGCCAGGAGAGCAAGGGGGAAAGGAAGGTTGGTGCTGCCCAGCAACTCATCAACCAGCAGGGACTAGGGGTACATGGTAGGAGGGGGGGGGCTTTGTTGTGGAGTGGCCCGACCGACGGTTGATTGATGCCATGCGGGAAGTGAAGGGAAGGGAGCTTGAGGCAGAAGAGGCAGGTTCTCTGGCCTGCGGCGCTCACTAGCCTGCTAGCGAAAGGGGAAGCGGGGCCCCCCGGATAGATGCATGAGGCTGGCTCCCGCAGGGAGTTGTCCAAGGTGAGGAAGGCTACCAAGGCTACGTTGGGCGCACCTAGCACTTACTTAGTACCTAGCACCTAGCCTCACCTAGCACCTAGCCTCGAGGGCCTTCGCCTCGCTCCTCGCGCGAGTCGCATCGCGTCCCCATCATGCCCCCGTCTCAAGTAAGACATGGAGTGTGACGAGCCATGCACACCAAGCAACCCAAGCAACCCAAGCAACCCAAGCAACCCAAGCAACCCAAGCAACCCAAGCAACCCAAGCAACCCAAGCAACCCAAGCAACCCAAGCAAACCGCTGACCGCGCCGAACCCGGCACTCTGGATTGAGTTGCCACATACCTCTTGCCCAAAGCCTGCACAAGACCATGATCCAAGCAGAGACAAGGCCCCCCCCTCTTCTCCACAAAATTACAACAATCAATGTCGCCAGGGCCAGGCCACCACCAGACTTTGCTGAAGATTTCTTGGCATGGCCGTCTGCGACATTGCCTGCACTTGCTGGAGTCATCAACCACGCTGAGCTGTCGAATGACCTGTCGACTGACCTGGATCTGGATGGTCCCCTTTCCGAACCCTTTCTGCAAATGGCCGACGGCCTCGTCGGTGTGCGCCGCCAATCCCTCGGCGCCCTGTCGTCTTTGCAACGGGTCTTTGCAACGGGCGAGCATGTCCGTGGTGTTTGCATCTTGGGCCTACCGGATCAGGTGGTCAAAGTAACCTGGCCACCATTTCGTACAGGCGACCGGATCGAATCGTCGAAGCAACATGGCCATGACACAAGCTGTGCGTAACATGCCTCGGCCCCCCCCCAACTCCAGACAAGCAAGTTCCCATGCATAGCGTCTCAAGCGTCTTTCACAATAACCTTGTCTCGTCGTCGGTCCTTCCACCCTGAAGCTCGAGGGCCGCGAGCCGCTGCTTTTGCTCTGAACACGCTTCGGCAATTTTCTCATGCCACGGCTAACAAAACAGGGTCGATCAAAGTCTATTCAGTGTCTCACCAGCTCTGCGCGCCCGCGAGACCGTCGCAACTCCTTCGATAGGCCCGCTTGGCTCAAGATCCGATCTGTGTGGGGCATCACAAAGCGAGAGCAACTCCTTCCGAGCGGCGCCCTGCTTGCTTCGTCTCTGATCGCACCATCAGGAAACGGGCCCAGCTGCCACGCTGACGTCGACTCAGCCCACTTTGTTTGCTCTCCCATCGCCGACGGCCAAGACCGAGACGTCTTAGACCCTGAGACGCCCAGTGGCCAGAATTGACAGGCAGACACAACCGGCGACGTCCTCGCGAACGTGGCTTCATCGACGCCGCAAGCAGCAGCAGCAGCAACAATCCAGCGCGTCTGGCCCTCTCTCTCTCTCCGATGACCCTGCGAACAGCCCAGATGCACTCTTCATTCCACAACAAAACCCAGTCATGATCAGACCTCCCACTCCGCCCCCCCTTATTGTGGCCCCTGCAACGTCGTAGCCGGGCCTTCGGTCAGTCGCGATAGGAGACAACAGAGCCCATGACCCTAGCAAACTCGCAAGACTTTGAAGTTTAAATGGCAAGGCGAATGAGGCAAAATCTCGCCTCGCCTCGCGATGGACAGGGACCTCCGCGTGGGCATACCATGTACTATGTAGACATGTATCCCCTGCCTAGCACCTGGCACCTGGCAACCTCGAAACCCGGGATTTTTCGTGTATCCAACCAGTAAGGAAGGGGACGGACGGGTGGTGGGGGGTGGGGGCCTCTGGATCCCACCACCCTTCGTCTTTCACGCGCCGTCCGTGGCAGTGGATGTCGGGATCGATGGAGCTGGAGGGAGGAGACGACGGGGCCAGTGGAATATGAGGAGGGGGCCCCCTTCAGGGGAGGGGAGCGGAGGAGGGAGACTTGTGGCAGCATGTACATGTACGTACACCGTAGCAGGGGGCCATTGACCAGACCGGCGATTCCAGCTGATAGAAGGGTAACGGGGCTAGCCTCTATCTGTCTTGCCAAGGTGGCCCTGTAGCCTGGCAGGTTAGCTTGTCTTGCCTTGGGGGCCTTGGGGGACGCCGCATTCTCCCTTACCGACCCAGGTGCGCGCTGGACCTTAGCTCTTACCACTGCCCCTAAAGCGCCGCCTTGGACCGGCCAGTCTGGTGACTCGATTCCCCTTGGATCGCTCCGATTACGTTACCCTGTCTTCCGCTGTACAGGTCCTTACCTGAAGCTTCCCTTTCTCTTAACCCAATCCCTCTAATCTGCGTCCCATCGCAACCACCCCCCCGTCAGACTACGCCATTCCGATATCTCCTGCGCAAGGTATCATGGTCGTAGCCGCCGGTATCCTACATGTACTTGAGATGAAGGCTGCTCAGTAGCTCAAGAAGAGGACATCGCAAAAGCCCCGAGTTTGACAGCAACTCACACCGAGAGCCTCATGCGTCCAACGGAGCGGCTTCCAATTGACCCTTGCCATCCCCAAAGTCGCGCCTGACGGCCCCCGACAGGATGTTGCGATATCACGTTCCCGCCCTCGTCGTCCTTCATGCCGTAGCGACGTCCGCTGCAGGTCCCTCCGCCCTCGCGTTGACGCCATCGTCCGAGTGGTCAGTACGATCGAACCCGACACATCAGCTCTTGTCCCCGCTAACCTCGGGCCTTCAGGTATGGTATCGATGGCAACTGGTCCACGTTGAGCTTCCAAGTCGGACACCCTGGAGAATCAGTCAACGTACTGGTGAGCACCTCACTGTCTGAGTTTTGGGTTGTCCAGTCAGGGGGCTGCTATAACCGTAAGGAATACCCTCCTCCTCTCGCCACCGTCTCATCGACAGTCATATATGTGAACTGACGCCTGGTCAGGGGAGCCTCTCTGCGCAAATGCCAGAGGCAACGTCTTCGACCCCACTGGCTCGTCGTCGTGGGATGCCCTCGGTGGTTGGCAGCTGGGGCTTGACTACTTGCAAAATCAAGGCAACGGTGACTATGGCTTGGACACTGTCGTCGGTAAGACATTGAACGGAGACGAAATGCTCATGGACCGCACAATTGTTGCCGCCATCAACACGACCGACTACTACACCGGCTACATTGGCCTAGGCATCAACCAAGGCAGATTCGGTGACCAGATTGCCGAGTCACCCTTAACCCAAGCAGTCAAGGAGTACGGACTGGTCCCTAGCTACAGCTACGGCTACACAGCTGGCGCATCTTACAGTAAGCTAAACCAGCCGGCGGATAGCATGCGAGTCGAAGCTGACATTTCCGCAGTGGGGAGCAGTGGTGTGCCGTGTTCTCTGACACTCGGAGGTTATGACGAGAGCCGCTTTACCACTCACAACACGGAGTTTGTCCTGGGCCAGAGCGGTACCACGCCTGTCACGTTGGTACGTGGCATATCAGTCACTGTGCCTGAAGACGATACAAGACCAGGCAACTGGGAGGGATCGGGACCCCGGATTCTGTCCAACATGTCAACATCCTTCACTGCCTTGATCGACAGTTCTACGCCATTCCTGTGGCTCCCTGCTCAGGTCTGCGACGAATTCGCAGATGCGTTCAATCTGACATACAATGACACCCTCGAGCTTTACACCTTTACCGACGACCAATTCAACACGTTCTCGTCTGGCTGGGCCTACTCCTTCACCTTTTCCCTCTCTAGTTTCGATAACACCGACGACTTTGGCCATCCGCTCGACACACCAGGAGTTGTCAACATCACCATCACAGCCGCCGCCTTTGCACAAGTCCTTCGTTACCCGTTCATGGACAAAATCAACTACGGCGACCCATCAGTCCCCTACTTTCCCCTGCGGAGAACGGACAACACCACTGACACATTCATACTCGGTCGTGCCTTCATGCAAGAGGCCTACATGGTCACCAAATATGACAGTGACGTCTTTTCTATTTATCAGGCTAAATTCCCAGAGGATCCCATCGCCGACGCTAAAATTGCCCAGATCAATCAGCCAGAGAACAGCCCTTATCCGCCGCCGGCACCAAAGCCGAGCTCGCGCAAGGGCCTGACGACGGCACAGATTGTCGGCGTCGTGGTCGGCGTGATTGGTGCATGCCTTGTTGCTACGCTCGCAGTGTGGTGGTGCTGCAGACGGCGCAGGAGAGAGAACACCGCGACTGACAACAGTGAGAAGGACGGCAGCTCGTCCGTGGGCACAATGGAGCCCAGTACACCTGTGGCGCGTATCTTCTCGCGGATTTTCGGGCGTGGCCGGTCGCCGCACCAGCCAGTGACGCACGAGGTGTCGGGCAACACCACGCAGCCAACCGAGGTTGGCGCCGACGCCCACCACGCCGTCTATGAGATGCCTGCGCCTCTGGGTCCCATGGAACTGGACGCCGCAGAGGATGACCATTCCCTGAACGGAGACACCGAGTACGGAACGAATGGGTCGCAGCAAATGACGGCCTACGAAGCAGCGCGGAGGAAGATGGATCTGCAGCTGCAGGGCCCCGTACCGGCATACAGCCCCCCCGTGAATGGCGCGGAACCCACGCCAGAGAAGCCGGAACTGAACATTCCCCTAACCTACGTGACGACGACAGAACGATCGCCTGTCTCGTCCCCGACAGACAGCAACAGCAACACGTTGCCCGGAAGCCTGCCCTCTCCCCTGAGCAATCGCGGCCCCTGGAGCCACGGCACGCCGAGCCTGCCCTCGCCAATGGCATCCCCAACGCCCGCCCTCTCCTCGCAAGGCGACAACAACACGTACCACACGTGCCGCAGCAGCACAACCAACCCCGTCTCGCCGACCAGCCAGGCCTTTGTCCGGCCAGCGCTCACCCCTGCCGATTCGTCCCCGGCGGAGGCTCGTTCGCCGCAGCCGGGCCTCGCTCCGCCGCCCCCGTCCTTCGGCTTCCAGAGGGCTCCGATCGACCCCTCCAAGGTCGTCTGCCTCGGCCCTCTGCCGGGCAACGTCTCCTTGCCGGGCTACAGTCTCGACCCGCGCCTTCGCAGCCTCGACGTGCCGAGGTCTGCTACGCCGGGCAGCAACTGGTCGCCGGGCAACACGGCAGTGAGCAGCAACCGCAGTGACAGCTACGAGCAGCAGCAGCCGGCGAACCGCGGCGGCTCGGGGACGCTGCCGGAGCATCAACGCATCGACGCCGATTTGGAGATGGTGCATGTTCCGCAACTGGCGGAAAGGCGATATAGCTGGGAGGAGGAGAGGTCGCATGCTACACGGGAATCATAGAATCATACATGTATCGGGCGTTTTTTTTGGGGGGGGATTGAACCAAGTCACGGGGCGGGGGGGCATCGGTCTCGGAGTTTACGTGGGAATCTAGTCACTCTGACAGGAAGAATTTTGTCAAGGAAAAAATCACATGCGGCGTTGTCGCCTGTTAGCCAGATATCTTGAAGAACAAGTCAAATAGTGCCATCAAGAGCTTGATCAGCGACGTGCCTTCCTTGACAAGACAAGTGCGCATAGCTTTCACACGAATGGAAGAGCAATGTGGCAGCAATGGCAACCCGTGAGATGGCCATTGTTTAGCGTCGCTTCAGTGAGACAAAACCCCCGTCGAGATGTACCTTGAGGCTGAGCTGAACAAACCACATGCTCACCAGATTTCCTGCCACCAGGTTAACCTCCCTAGCATCTCCTCCGCCTCCGTCTCGGTCTCGCAGAGGCCCCCGACGCGCAGGCACTCCACGACCGCGGCCCGGCACGCCGTGGCCATTTTACTACTGCCGCCGCAGACGATAAAGATGACATTCTCCCGGGCCATGTCTGCGACGACCTGCGCCTGCTGCCGGATGACATCTTGTATATATATCTTCTCCTTTTGGTCTCGCGAGAACGCCGTGTGGACCTCGAGCTTGGAAGATGGCATGGCGGCCCATTCATCGGCGAAGAAGAAGTCCTTGCCGCGTGACCTGTTGCCAAAGAAGAGCAAGGTCCTACCGGTGGGCGTGTCGGTGTCATCGTAGCGGAGCCGCTCCTGGATGAGGGCATGGATGGGTGCAATGCCTGTGCCGGTTGCAAAAGCGCAGAGTGGCCGACGCGCGTGCAATTTGCCATGCAGACTCGTCAGGGACGGCTTGTGGCTGGCCAGTACTGCATTTCCTGCAGCGAGTAGGTTGATATAGCGCGAGCATAGACCGGTACGGATCTTGCGAAGGACTGTCTGATACTTCACCAAGGCGACAAGAAGCTCGAGCTTGTAGGAAGAGTCGCTTCCGGGTTCTGACGGCTCGATGCTGGCAATGCTGAAGTCACGGCCGCGGATCACGGGGAAGACATCAAGTACATACTCCGGAGGGAACTGAACCGAGTGGAACTCCTCGAGAACCTCGATGATAGTGCGTCGCGGCCGAGTAGCGTAGTCGTAATACTCGTCGATGTATTCCGACTTTGTGAATTCCAGGAGCCGTTCCTTGTGATCCGAATCCGTACAATGGTGAGAGATGGCCTCAAGAAAACTGCGCCGAGGAATTGCGGTTATGTCCAGGTTCTCGGTGAGCAGACGTCGTAATGTCGTCATGTTGGCCGTATAGAGACCGGTCGGGCGTTCGCTGAGCGTTCCCAAGTCCACAACATTGTCCGCAATAGCCCCCCATTGCATCACGTCCAAGAGCTTGTCGACATCTTGAGATAGATTTCTGGGGTAGAGTCTCAGGCAGTCGCCAGGATTGATTTGAAGTGACGGTGGTTGTAGGTGACGAATGTCGAAAGAAAGTCTTCGGACGTCTTGCCAGTGCTCGGTCGGCGTGACCCGGGTGTTTGAGTTGACTTCGACGACGAGACCGCCAGGCACTGCAGAAATTAGATGCTGCAATGCTTGTTGGCTCGGCTGTTCAGCACCCGCCTCCAATGAAGTGGCAGCTGCTGATGATCCCGTGACGAAATCGAGTGACTGTAAGTTAGGAGTTCCTTCAGCGGCTGTGTCTTGGGAATGGCGCGGCGTGTCTACAGGGCTGATCTTGATGATGTATTTCGGAGGAAGGAGGGCTGTATCTGGAATGGGACTCAGCCCTGGAGGGAGGGGGTGATATTCGAGTATTTTGGTGCGCAAATCGATCGACCAGGGCAGATACGTCTGGTCGATGCTTCGGGCAGTGTTAGATAGACTCTTTGGCCTGAGAAGTCTGTTCGCAGCACCTACCCGTCATCGTCTTGTTCGTTGCCCTCGCCCCGAGGATAGAACTCAGTGGCACCCAGCTGTTCAAGACGCTTGTGTAGTTTTCGAGCAGCCCAGTTGAATCTTCGGTGCCGTCAGTCATGTGCTGAGTAGACAGTGGGAGCTGGGGGAACTACTTTGGATAAGAACTATCCCCGAGACCAAATGTGGTGAACCTTGCGCTTTGCAGGCAACCCGGGGGCAACTTTCTTCTCAGAAGACTCTTCCAGAACGCAAGAGAATTCTGTGGCATGTCCCCTTGGCCGGTCGTAGATATGACTATGATGACCAGCGTATAACGAAGCAGCTCATTCTACGGATTTCAGAGGTTAACGTCTTTTTCTTAACACGGTGGCAATGGCAGAAGGATCTAGTAGACTCACAAGCTGGACCGCATTTAGTTCATCAACTTTAGTCTTGAAATGCAATCGCTGTGTCATCTTGCCAAGCTCTTCTGCAATGTCTTGACTGTTGCCCGTCTCTGACCCGTACAATACCAGGGCAGCTCTCCCGGGAAGGTCAGCCAGTTCAACTGGCTGGTCTCTCTCCATAACGACCATCTTGACCTAGGCGATGCGCAAAGCTCGAATTGAGGCAAATTGTGAGAGGAGCAAATTTGCAAGAGGCAGATGAGTTGAGCGCGAGATATTCAGTCACGATGCGTCGTCGGATTCCCAACAGGGTGACTAACAATTGGCGGCATCGGAGTTTGCGGCTGCCAAACTCGGCATGCGGGTTGTGCGAAGCCACGGGGGCGGATTTGGCTGCCACGGAGCGACAGGGCTCATATCGGGCGAGATCGCTAATCGGACTTTGTGGTGCTAAGTAGTGAGATGAACAGCGTCTAAGCCTGAAGGGGGTTGCTACCCTGGAATCTCAGCGCAATGGGGGACCCAGAGGCCCGGAGAAGCGGCGCCATCGCATGCAGACTCCAGGCAACTCGCGCCAGGTGCCACGCTATGCGATTGATTGACCATCGCCTTGTCGTGGTGCAGCTTTCAGAAGCCTCTCGTTGCTGAAGCAAGAGGGATCTGTTATACATCACCCGAAGGACTGATAGCAAGGAAAATGCAGCATGGGAAAGCCCCTGTACGTTTTCGTAGCCCCCAACAGAACGTGATTGATGTCAGTCACCGACTCGTAATCCAGCCGCCGATAAACAAGGGGAAGAATGCTGAGAATCAAAAGATTGAGCAACCCCGTCCAGGGGCTGACAAGGGCGAGGCTTTGCGCCTCGCCAGGGGTCTTTGTCACTGACGCAACGCCCGAGAGCGAAAGGGGGTGGACCAGGGAGATTGTCCAGGTCCGAAGGCAATCTCATGGGAATTGTGCAATTCGCTTGGAGGATTGAGAGCCCGTAACTGCATTATTTTGGTATGCTGTTCGCTATTGATGGTCTGTGATGGTGAATGTAACCCGGGGGTCTACCTGAGAGTGAGGCGATCGACGGTGGAGATATCGTACCCTCCTTGCAAGTGACCCTAGCATGAACGTCGCTTGCCTACCTGATGATGAAGTGATAATCAGATGCGTGTTGAAGATGTCGGCAGTGGTTGTTTGCTTGAATGCATGCCTTCAAGGGCATTATGATTGCTCGACATGAAAAAGGATTTCCGCAAAGAAGAGGGGGTTCACTCCTATTTCCTCGCTCGGGAGTTGCTGACTGGGGCTGCTTCCAGAAGCCTCTTTCTCAGCCAAGGTTCCTCCTCCCCTAAGGTAACTGTCGCATGGAGGAGGTACAGCAGGCAGGTATGGCACAGTAGTACTTGCTTGGTAGACCAGACACGAAGAGGGTTGCATGGGAGCTCCTGGCTGCTCCAGCTTGTTTGGGGGACTATTGTACCCACTAGACAGCCACTGGGCAAACACTACCTACCTTACATGGGGGTGATGGCGAAGCTGGGGCCATTGGCACCCACACACCCGCCTGACGGGCAGTTGCCGTGAGCTTGGGGCTAGCTTCTGCGGACGTGGCAAGAGCTCGCTGGTAGTGAGGTGTGAACTCCACATGTGACAGGTCAACAGAGAATGTGTGGCGGCGTGCATGTTGAACCGCCTCCCACGACACGAAACCTCACAGTCAAACGGGAAAATGGGCAAGTACTTCCTGGCTCCTGGTTTCCATAGTCGCGACTGTGAACAAGTTCGAGTGGCACCTGCCGTAAGTAACAATATGGGCGATGCTTTATGATGTACAGTGCCTGAAGGAATGTTTTCTCCCTGTACTCATGAAAGCCCACGCACGCGATCAACTCAGACACCCCAGTAGCGAAGTTGCCGTTGCCTTCGGTGTTCACTGAGCCTCATAGGCCCATTATGCACAGGCTGGTTATGCCCATGTCCATAGTGTTCGACACTGCTTGAAGAGTGAAGAGAGGGAAAAAGTATCATGATCAGTGCATTTCTAAGAAAAGAAATGGAACACAAACCTGTCTTGCCATGTGCCTAAAGCGACAGTTCCGCAAAACGTGCCTGGCCCATGTTCAAGCATTTGACACCCTTTAAGCCCCTGCTCGTCGCACAATAGAACCCCCCCCAACAGCTCCCCTGGGTACGAAAGGCTAAGGTACCTGCCAAGTCAGTGGCAGGGCTCACAGACACGAGCAGGCGCCTCCCATTCTTCGTGCCGTCGCTCCTTCACTCCTTCCACAGGAGGCGTCCTCCCGACCTGTCTGGTGCTGGACCCCCTCCCATTTGCCCCCCTGGTCACCACCCCCTGCACTCAAGGGGAAAAAATATTTGTACTTACCTCCAGGCAACTCCAGACCTCCCCTTTCTTCCCTCTTCTCCCCATCACAAAACATCAAGAAACTGTGTCACCGCGCAACGCAAGTCGTCTGTCTTCCCCTCTTCAAGCATCTAGGGCACCAAGCTACCCTAACAATCCCCCTCCATTGTCTCAGAGTTCAACTCATCCCGAACTTCGATCCATCTTCCAACCTCGGACCTTCTTTCTAAACCCAGGTCCTCCAAGTTCGACACAACCTCGTCGCACGTCATCTCAACACCAACACCCATCTCCATATTCCAACCACACAACACACATCCCATCATCCAACATGTCTGCCGTTGTGGAGAAGGTCACCGACGCCGTCCAGGACGTTACCAATGCTCTGAGCAATACCTCGATCGCCGAGAAGGTCACCGACAACAAGCCTGCCGCCGCCAACAATGACGCCGTCCTCGCCAGCGCTGCTGAGGGACGCCGTCTCTACATCGGCAACCTGGCCTATGCGACGACCGAGGGGGAACTGAAGGAGTTCTTCAAGGGTTACCTTGTGTGAGTTTTCCATCTTCTTTTGTCATCATGATCATCATCACTCTCTTTCCCACATCATCGTCTGAATGTGGCAATACCCGTCCTCATACGCGGGCATCCCTTCCTGTTCTGCCAGTCTGGCCCTCGATGGTTTCGCAACCTCATCGATGTGATGGCTAGGGTGTTGCAGAACCATATCGTTAAAATCACCACCATTGCTGAAGACGCTGTCTAAAGCATCGGTGGCGATGCTCCTTCCGTGGGCTCATCTCTGCCGGATGACACATCGCCCACAACATCGCCCCAAAATCCTGTCTAAATATTACCGCCATCTTGGTAACCGCTTGCTGACCTGCCTCTGTCCACAGCGAGTCCGTCTCCATTCCCAAGAACCCCCGCACCGACCGTCCCGTTGGCTACGCCTTCGTCGACCTCTCTACCCCTACCGAGGCCGAGCGCGCCATCTCTGAGCTGTCCGGCAAGGAGATTCTGGAGCGCAAGGTTTCCGTCCAGCTCGCTCGCAAGCCCGAGCCTGCCGGCGAGAAGGCTGACGCCCCCAACGGCGAGGGTGCCGGCGAGGGCAACCGCCGCCGCCCCTCTGGCCGCGGTCGTGGCCGCGGCCGTGGTGGCCGTGGTGCCCGCAACGGTCGCGTAAGTGCCAGAGTCTTGACTCGGCGAGTGTCATGAGCTAACATCAAGTCTAGGATGGCGCCCAGGAGGAGGGTGCCGAGGCGCTGCCGCCCCTGCCGAGGCTGCCGCCCCTGCCCCTGCTGAGGCTCAACCCCTTGGCGACGTTACCAACAAGGACGTCGCCGCCGACTCGGCCAAGAACAAGGAGTCCCGCCCTCCCCGTGAGCGCCGGGAGCGTGGCCCCCCCGCCGACGGCGTTGCCTCCAAGACTAAGGTCATGGTCGCCAACCTGCCTTACGACCTGACCGAGGAGAAGGTATGTTTTTTCTCGTTTGACGATCACGTTGAGAGCTACTACTAACGTGCTGGGACGTAGCTTAAGGAGCTTTTCGAGGCTTACTCGCCCTCTTCCGCCAAGATCGCCCTTCGCCCAATCCCCCGCTTCATGATCAAGAAGCTCCAGGCCCGCGGCGAGCCCCGCAAGGGCCGTGGCTTCGGCTTCGTTACCCTCGCCTCCGAGGAGCTCCAGCAGAAGGCCGTCAACGAGATGAACGGCAAGGAGATTGAGGGCCGCGAGATCGCCGTCAAGGTTGCCATCGACAGCCCTGACAAGACTGATGAGGAGGCCAACTCTCCCGAGGAGAAGGCCAACGGTGCTGAGGAGGGCGCCCCCGCTGCGGCCACCACTGAGGCTCCCGCTACCACCGCCGTCACGGCGACCGATGCCGCCCCTGCAGTCCCCGCGGCTGCTGCCGGCGCTACTACCACTGCTTAAGCAGAACATTACCGACACCGCCTGGCCCGAGAAAACCGGAGAGCCTTCGTAATTTCGGTTCTGACGAACTCTTTTATGATATGATATCGGTTTGACGATTTCTCTTTTTGAAAGTGGGCCTTACTGGAACACGGGCACGCACAGGAGGCGGCTATTTTATCTCCTAGGACAGATATCTTTCGTGGCTTGCCTCTGGCCCTACATAAAAATAGGACATGGAAAAAGGAAGCTTCGCAGCGTTGCTATCTGTTTCTCTTTCACCGTAATACTTATCACGACTCCCACATTACACCCCTTGTATTTTTGTCACCTCCTTTCCCGTCTCCCTCCGCTCTCAGTGGGGGTTTGTACATTAGCTCTTGCTTCTGGCGGGCGGGTTGGCAGGACGAGGAAAAGCTTGGCGCAAATCAATTGACCGGACAATGATCAATCGTCTCTGTTGTTGTATGTGGTCCGTCGATGAACCATGATTGTGCAATATTGCAAGCCTGCTACTGGAACAAGTGCCAAAACGTAGCCAACCTATGGTGTCCTAATGACTATTCTGGCCTTGCAGCGCCCACAAAGCTTATCCTGAGGGCTTGATGGGAGGACACCAGTCAACGCAGAACCCGCATATGGGCACGCTGAACAAGATCTCATGGAAGAAGCGCAGCCTAAGCCCAGCATGTGCCACTGTGGACGTATTCCCAAGTGGCTCAGCAACAAGGCAGAGTATTCGTAATTTCGTTGAAAGGCGAGGTGACATTCCGAAAGACTTTGGTGGGGTGTGTACCGGCGGGCTAGCAAGCCTGCTTGCCTGGCTACCGAGCTTGGTTGGTCCTGGTCTACCTGACTGCGCGAAGGCCTAGGCTATGGTCGCCAGAGCCAATAGGTGATCTGGCGTGCCACCCCCA